CATGTTTAGCTGCCCAGACAGAGCACATTATAAACGTCTTATGGCTATCACATCTCTTTAAGAACCTAAGTTGTCAGCTCAGAGAGCCTGATTTCAAGCATTTACCATCCTGCTATAGCTGGAGCAGTCAAACATGTTCAGAGGTCAGCTTTGCTCCTGGACAAGTGGAGTGGGCTGGGGCACATGGTGAGTAGGTGGTGGTGATTCAGGCTCCTGAGTCAGGTGCAGGTGCTGAGCTGGATCTGAAGCACTTGCTGCTAAATGGAGCTCCTCTGTTTGCTCTTGATGGGCATGAAGATGTTCCAGGGTTTCCTTGGACAGTGTAATTACATGCACTGGCTCTGTCTGTGAGGGCTCCATCTGGCTTTCAATCATATTGAGACTTTGAATGTGTTCTGTTTGCTCCTGCTGAGCTGAAAGAATTAAATTCTGCAGTTGCTCTGGCTGCTGTGTGAGCAGGGTGAGATTAGCAGCCTGGTCTGCGGTCATGTTCTGGGAACTCTCAGCAGTCATGATACTGATTCCCTGACTAGGACCAGGCATGAAATTGATGTTATGTACAGAATCAGTTACCAGAAGCTGAATCTCCTGCTCTCCAGAGGTAGAGAGCTGGTATGGCTGTAGCTGAAGAATATTTCTGACCTCTTCTGTACTACTACTACTACCAGAAACACTGCTGGCATCTGATGCATGCTTCTCTTTACTGTGGATTTTCAAGTGAGCCTTCAAGTTGTCTAAGCGAGCAAACTGTAAGTTACACTCTGGGCAGGAGAAAGGCTTTTTGCCTGTGTGCAGGATGCAATGTCTCCTTTTGGCACTGGAGTCAGAGAAGGATTTGCCACAGATGCCACAGGAGTATGGCTTTTCTCCTCTACAAGAAAACACACATTTTATTTTAAAACAGAAATACCTATTTATTACTTCCTGGCTAGTTATGCCTAGTCTTTGAGTAGGTAAACCATGGGTTCCCACTAAGGATGCAGGGCAAGTTACATTTCCTTGGGCTTCAGTTTCTAATCTGAAAAAAAATTTAAAAAGGTTTGAGAAAAAAATAAACAAGGGATGGGTGTGGTGCTTGAGGTAAGGTGGCAGATGGGGTTGGGCTAGATGTAATAAAATTTTATGATTCCATTGTACATATTTTAGATAAGAAAGTATTTACRCTGTATACATAGTTTTGTTTTAGTTCTTACAGCCATTTTTTAGACTGTAATATCCAAATAGGTACACATGATTAATGTAATTTTGTGAGTAAAACATTCAGAAAAAATTAGAATTTAATGCTTATTTTTAATCAAAGATTCATGCTTTGGACTAGCCCCCAATTCAAAATAAAAATTAAATAAATGAAATCAACAATGCAAATTTTTACTGGTCAGCATCGTATTGCTAATTTTGCCTAAGTGAGGAATTTCATTATTGAGAAGGTAAAACAAGCAAATTAAAAAAAAAAAAAAAGGAAGAAAGGAAAGATAAAACAAAATAACAAACTACCAGAATCACAATTTGGGGAACAGGATTATATAGGTAATATGTCATCCCAAAGAACAACACCATAGAAATATCTGCAGAACTTTACCGATGAATTCTGATGTGGGTCTGAAGAGAACTCTTTGCTGTGAAAGACTTGCCACAGATTTCACAAGTAAATGGCTTTTCACCTAAGAAAAGGGAAACATATAAAAATACATATTTGGCATTTAAAAGAACTCTGAACCACTTCATGGTTCCACAATGTGAAAAGAACAAATGCAATCAGCAAGAAGGAAGAAAGCACAACAACACAACTGCTCTGCACCCCACATGAAGCTGAGTGTCAACAGCAGGCAGAGGAAGCAGGCATGCTTTGTTCCCTTGAACACCTCAAAACCAAAAGAAGAGGTCATGTTTACATACAGGAAACAAAGGAACTCACTATATTTTCTCCTATATTTTCCACTCTTAGTTCTAATAGTGCTTTCTACACTCCTACCTTACTGCTGTTTAGGTAGCCCATATAACCTTTGCAGGGACTCCTGTGCAGTAGGGTGACTTATATATTATTCACAGGCATATCTACCTTTCAAATATACCCAGAATCTGACCTGCCACTTGTCTGTGCCATACCATCCCTCCTGAATCATTTCCTCAGCTGCCACCCTGGATGTGTGCTGCCACCAACCCTCCTGGATCACAGTGGCAACCTCCAAAAGGGCCTCTTGTTTCTCTGCCACTTATTGTCAATGCAACAGCCAGAGTGATCCCTGGTACAGAGTCAGATCACTCCAAGCTGGGGCTACAAATGCTCTAATGGCTCACCATCCCAAGGTAACAGCCAAGAAAACCATTGGCCTACAAAGGGGTCACAGATCTGTACCTTCCCACACATCTTCCTGGCTCCAAATCTCCCTGAGCTCATTTCAGGATCTCTCCCAGGGAGCGATCACTCACCTCATCTCTCATGTGCTGCTTTACCAGTGGTTTTATCACCACAATCTCCACGACTACCACCACCGTACACTCTTTGATCCACTCCCTGACTTAGTTTTTCCATAATGTTACCACCATCTCATATACTGTACACTGTACTTATTACCTATCTCTTCCCTTGTTATGTAAGAAAATCTGTGAGCTTATCTACTCCTAGTCCCCAGTGCCTAGGATCTGGCCTTTCTCTCTATTTCAGAAATCCCTGATGAATGTTTGAATTTTACATGGGTGAACTAAGGCCCACATTAGACAGTATGACTGTTCAAACACTACTCTGCTTCATTAACATCAACAAATATTTATTCAGTGCTAGTTTGCACTAACATAATAACACACTGTGCCCCCAAGAAACAAAATTGTTTCCAATGTAGATGAAATACATATTTTATGTGATATAAAATATACATATACGAAGCAACAAAGTATACATGTATGAAGCATATATATACATAAAGCAACAAAATCCCACTTCAATTGGAGAAAAGCAAGGGTAAGTGCAATTTTAAGGGAGGATGGTCCCTTAGCTTCCCTTTCAGGCTTGACAATTCTCCGAGTTGCACTTAAGGAGACACCTGTAACTAACTGGATAAATCTGCATCTTTGCATCATTAACTCCATCTCCTCCCCCTACTAGAAATTGAGCCCAGGGGTGCTCTACCACTTAACTACTCTCCCACCCCTTTTTATTTTTTATTCTGAGACGGGGTCTTCCTAAATTGCTGATGTTGGCCTCGAACTTGTGATCCTCCTAACTCAGTTTCCTGAGTTCCTGGGATTACAGGGGGGAACCACCACACCCAACTGCATCAAGACCAGGCCACTTTCTAAATCAGAGCTGGAGTCTACTTTGATCTTAGTTGGTTTTCCCCCTCTCAATTAAATTCAAAGACTGAGTACCTGTTCTGTTTGCTTGTGATTTTAAAGTTCTGTGTCAGAAACACAAATAACAATGTTAATTTTACCCTTCAATTCCAGCTGGGTTTCTATCTCAGAAAATTTGTTGGCAAACATTATTATTATTTTTTTTAATATTTATTTTTCAGTTTTCGGTGGACACAACATCTTTATTTTATTTTATGTGGTGCTGAGGATCGAACCTAGCGCCCCACGCATGCCAGGCGAGCATGCTACCGCTTGAGCCACATCCCCAGCCCCAGCAAACATTATTTTTAAGAGCAAGCAATCATTTGAATTAATGGGAATTTTTTCCAGAAACAATATTTTGCAGCTACGGCTCTTTGAGGGAATAAGCAGTATAATAAGACAAATTTTCCTAGCCAGTATGAATATGAATGTCATAGTTCACTTTGTGTTGCTATAACAGAACACCTGAGAATTGGGTGATTTATAAAAAAAAATTATTTTTTACAGTCTGGAGGGTGAAAAATTTAAGGTCAAGAGACTTGCAGCTAGTGAGGACCTTCTTAATGTGTTACCTCATTCAAGGCAGAAAAGTGCAAGATGGTGTAACCCCAGCAACTTGGGAGACTAAGGCCGAAGGATCAARGTCAGGTCCAGCCTCCACAATTTAGTAAGATCCTAACAAAAAATTAAAAATTAAAAAAAGGGCTAAGGATATAGCTCAGTGGTGGAGGTAAGTGTGCTCTTGGGTTTTTAATCCCTAGTACTGCAAAAAAGAAAAATAAGTGGAAAGGCAAGAGCACACTTGAGAAAAAGGAGAAGAGCCAAATGCATGCTTTTATCAGGAGTCTGCTTCTGTGATAATGGCATTAATCCACAAGGTCCTACTTCTTAAAATGATTGCATCAGCCATTAAGTTTCCAACCCATGAACTCTGGGGAATGTGGGGACACATTCAAACCACAGCACTGATGAAAGTCTTCTGCCTCCCTGATTTCCCTGTGTACAGCTCTGCCACCTTTGACAAATGACCAATTCCGTTTTATTGATTTTTGAAATACTAATAGACCATCAACAAAGTTCAGAGCTAAGAAACAGAAAAAAAAAAAGCATGATCACTATCTCAAAAAGGGATGTATAGTCTATTTGAGAAGATAAGCAAGGCAAAGCGTATTTGAGTGAATGATCAAATGAGCGGTATCAACAATATTGAGTCCAGATAGGATAGTGGAAGTCAGTGGAGGCAGGATCAGGCCAAACTGGAGAGAAGCCCTGAGTAGGTCACTGGTATCAATGGTATGATCAAAATGTTTGTGTTGGAAATAGTCACATGGTGAAGAAGGACAAGAATTCATCCTAGGGAGTGGTAGAGCTAAAAGATGAGGCCACACCATGAGAAGCCATAAATTCCAGGCAAAGGACCTTTAAGCCTCTGAAGGTTTTTAGTAGAATGGTGACATGCCAAAAGTATTATAAATTAAGTCTGGGAATGATGGGTACTGGAAGCTGGAAGCAAACCTTCTTGTTATATTCTACATACAAGGTGCTGAGGCCTGGGCCAGGAGGTGGCAGGAGGCCAATGGAGAGGGACAAGGATGAGATGACAGGGCCTAAGTTTAGGGAGTGGGACCAGAAGGAAGTTTGTTACAGGAGAACTAGACAACACTGATTAAAATTAAGGGCAGAGACACAAGTATGACTAAACACTCCTCTAGTGGAACACTGCTAGAAGGAGGGAGCTCAGGGATCCTTTCAGAGCCTCTTCTCAGCTGGCTAATCCACCACCCCTGCACCCAGCTGGGAGACTTGTAAACCCATGCCTGGGCTCCATACAGGATTTTTTCCTCAATATTTATTTGACCTCAGTGGATTTGCCCCTGCCATCAGTGCAAACCTGGATGGCTTTCTTGGTTAATGGCAGCACCACCCAATCCCTGTCCCAGCCAGGCACAAACAACAATCACAGTGATACTCCCAGTTCTCTTTTTTCCATGTTAACCAGCAATTCAGTCCTATACATTTTCCCTCCTGAGAATCCTGCTTCACATGTGGAACATAGTCGTGTTTTTTCTTACAAAAATTACTTAAGTTCATTGTAAAATATTCAAATGATATTGAGAGGTACAAAGAATGCATAAAGTGTTCCACATTCTCCTCTCTTCAATAACCAATCAACACTGTGATAAACACCTTTACATGCAAATCCATTGGTGCATATGCACATGAAGTACAAAGTTCACACCCAGTACAATGTTATTCTTTCAAGTAAAGCCATATCACATTTTAAAAGGTTGTATTGTAGTTCTCTGTATATTATCCAAAACATACCTGCTTAATCCTTTAGTGATGGACATTTAGGTTGTTTTTAAGTTTGTGACATTATAGTCAATGTTGCTTATAATCAATATCTCTATACAAACATCTTTTCACAGTTGGACAGTTAAAATTTTGATAAATATTGCCAATTTCTTTCTAGAAAGTCTCCAAATTTTATTTCCACCAACAATACATACAGATGTCCATTACCTCATGTATTTGCTAATCTAATGGACAAAAACCACGTACACTCCTCTTCTGATGATTAAAAGGGTTTTAGAGTGGTTTACTTGCCATTCCTATACTGTCTTCCCTGACGCACATCCCCGGCCCAGTTTCTTACTGAGGTACTCACTCTTTCTTATTTGGTAAATTAACACTTTATCATATACGTAGGAACTAAAAATCTCCTGAATACGTCTCTTCGTTCCACTCTCTTGACTTGAAAGTCTTCATCTCTCTTAGGGCCCGCTAACCAGCTCATCCCCAGACCTGTCCCTCTTGGGGCTGCTGAGTCCTTTTAAAGACACAAATAAAAATGTCCCTTTTCCCTTGCTTAAAAGCTACTCCATGCTTGCCATCATGGTGGTCTGCCCACTGCCTGGCAGTCCCATCCCATCTATGCACGGCAGAATTTCTTGTACTACTCTTGGATGCTAGGCTCTCATATCTCCAAGCTTACATTCCCTGCTCCTGTCTGCAGGTGCCTCTTTCTGCTCTCAGAACATGCTCTGGCTTCCTGGTCTGTTTCTCCTATGGATGCTTTCCCAGATCTTTTGGGGAATGTAACTCATCCCCTCTGTGCTCAGACCTCTACTGCATTGTCCTGATACTCGTCATCTCTCCTTTTTTTTTTTGTGTGTGTGTGGGGGGGTGGGTTGGGTAATGGAAGTGAACCCAGGGGCACTCTACCACTGAAATACATCCCCAGCCGTTTTAATTTTTTTGAGGCAGGGTCTCACTAAGCTGCCTAGGCTGGTGTCAAACTTGTGATCCTTCTGCTTCAGCCTTCCCACCAGCTTGAATTATAGGGGTGTGCCACTACACCCAGCTTTTTTTTGAGTTTTTTTTTTTTTTTTTTTTTAAATTTATTTATTTATTTATTTTTTTATTGTTGGTCGTTCAAAACATTACATAGTTCTTCATACATCATATTTCACAGTTTGATTCAAATGAGTTATGAACTCCCAATTTTATCCAATTGGGAGTTCATAACTCATTTGAATCAAACTGTGAAATATGATGTATGAAGAACTAGATTCTTAATAGATAGCATGTAGACACTGTAAAAACATGCTGTGGTGAGAAGCCCCAGCTCTCAGGAAGATGGGAATAAGCAACATTAATGGACCATCTTAACATATAACTGAGGAGATTGAGGTAGCTTCAAATCCAACCCAAGCAAATGAGGCTCTGAATGAAACTATGACTTAATAAACTTTATTACGGGTGACTAGGAAGGGCCATCCACAGGTGAGTGGGAGCCTGCAGTGTAGAACCAGTGTTTATCTAACACCATCCAAGGGACAGGGATGCATGAGGAGTAGGGCTGCACTATGGAGTTGGAAATGCCTCACACCGGGCTTTTCCATTGCTTGGGAAAATTCCCTTGACTTGCCCCCAGCTAACCAAAGAAGTTTTAGATCACTATCATGGTTTCTGTGTACCCTGATGTCAGGAAGATGTAGCCCCTTTGTTCATATATTCACTGCCTACCAGTTTTGTGAATCTGCTTGATTTCAACTAATCCAAATAAGCCTGCACAGCTCCAGGTACAGAGACAAGCACAGATGCAAGCTCAAAAGCCTAAGCTAGGCATCCTCTCCCTTTGGCTCATCAGTACCGGCCATCTGCCAGACACCTGACATCCCTTTCAAATAGGTTCATCTCCCTCACTAAGGATACCCTCTTAGGGAATAAAATACATTTATTTTGCCTCTGACTTATCTAGTGCTTGGTGCAGAACATTTAACCCTGAGAGAGTCTGCCCTTAAAGATGTAAGATATGAACGTCAATCTAGGTTTTCCAACTGAGCATGGCTCTGCTGACATGATCTGTACTGCTCAACCTGGCCCAGCGCAGGTAACAGGTTGACTGGTGCTTTTCGACACCATATCAAGTAGCTTCTCTGTGCTAGGGACAGATGGATCATAGTCCCAGCCATCGGAGAGCCCCAAATTTGTTAGTGGCTTAGTTTCAAGGTCATACCAAACACTTTATATTGTGCACCCCACCCCCTGCCCCAATGACACACCTACCCATCCACTGTCTTTTGCTTCTCCAAAGTAGACAGGCTATGAAGGGCTCACAGGGATTATAAGGGAAGATCTTCGATTCCTTTACATCCTCACTTCTGGTCTACTTACAGTGACCAGATGCTTTATGGTTCATTCTCAGGAGATAAAACTTCTCTGGCACTGATCAACAGGACTGGGCCACCTCAGCGCTGTTTCATCTGGTTCTCTGGGGAGTCCATAGTAACTTCACACACTATTTACAGGCACATGTGTAAGTGCACACATTCATAGCTCTGCCTGTATGGCTTCCCTCAGATCTGACATGACAAATTCTTAAGTCCTGTAATCTGTTCCTCCCAGTCTGCTCCAGATTTTGTTCCTTCCAGTTGTTTTTGCCTCCTCCGTATCTCACTCCCATATCCAACCACAAACAAAACATGCTAAACACCTTCTCAGAGTTGTTGCCATCTCTACTGCTGCCCCACTGGGCCAACCTCCTCATCATTACAACAACCTTATGATGCGTTTTCACTTCCAGCCTTAACTCACCCCACCCCATATGACAGATGCAGTTATTCTATTAACCCATAAAGTCAAAATTTTCAATTCTGAGAATATTTCAATGAAACTGTCACAAGTGCCGTAAAATAGGTTGAAAACGATTTACAGCTTATGTATTAATATTAGCTAATACTAATACTATTGTAATTATCCTATTATAATTATATTTCATATTTTATGTATATATATGTTTGTACAGGTGTTCCACATATGGGACAATGGGACAAAAATGGGCAAAATTCAAAATCATGTCATTTCATCCCTTTAGGTAAGGGCATCTTACTTGGAATAAAATTCAAAGTCTTTTATGGTCTTTAGGTGCTTATGAGTACTGAAGAAACACAGAGAGGCACTTCAGAGGCTCTGGCCCAGGCCTTTTCTTTTTTTTAAAGCTTCTCAGGTGACTAAAGTATGCAGCTAAACTGAGAACCCCTGTACCAATGCCCAGCTATACCACTTTCTCCTATTCCCAGATTCTCTGCTCTGCTTTAGCTCCTGCCTCTTGGCATTTCTACATCATGTCAGAAATGCTTCTGTCTGAAGGCTTTTACCTGCTTTCCTGTGCCCACCTAGAATGCTCTTGACTGGATATCCACAACAACTGGCTTGTTACCCACATTCTGATCTCCAACCAAAGGACCTCCTATCAGTGAGACCTTTCTAGAACAGTCCCTATATAAAAGAGCAATTCCATACTGCTTCTTACCCTGCATTTACTTCTTCATGGCACTCACCACTACCTAACATGTTACACACTCTTTTACTCTCTATCTCTGAATGTTAGCCCCTTACCAGCAGGGCTCTGTCCCTCTCATTCAGGGCCTAAAACAGTGCCTGGTATCCAGTAACTACTCAGTAAATATGTGCTGAATAGATAATTAAATTTTGCAGAAACCACGAATGGTGTCTGAGAAAAGACTATAGAGACACCATTTTCATAAAACTCACAACTCATGAGATAATTTATTGACTTTAAGAAAACTGACACAGGCTGAGTATTTTCAGAAATGCCTGGGGCCAGAAGTGTTTTGAATTTTGGATTCTTTTTCCCAATTTTAAAATATTTGTATATATATAATGAGATATTATAGGGAAGGGACCCAAGTCTAAAAGAAAATCCATTTATGTTTCACATAAACCTCTTTAACATAGTCTGAAAATATTCTGCACAATATTTCTAGTGCCTCTATATTTTGACTATGATCCATCACATGAAGTTGTGTGTGGAATTTTCTACTTATAAATATCATATCCATATTCAAAAAGTTTTGGATTTTGGAGCATTTTGGATTCTGAATTAGAGATATTCAACCTGCATTTAAAAAGTAAAGTCCAGGGGCTGGGGTTATGGCTCAGTGGTAGAGTGCTTACTTAGCACATGTGAGGCACTGGGTTTGATCCTAACCATCACATAAAAATAAAGTCATAGTGTCCATCTACAACTAAAAAAAAAAAAAAAAAAAAAAAAGTCCAAAGCACTATAAACCATTCTGATACATAATTTCAATGTACAATTTAACAAGAATCATTATGTTATCAACCAACCCACAACAGGCCTGGAACTGTGGTGCACGCCTGTAATACCAGCGGCTTAGGAAGCTGAGGCAGGAGAATGGCAAGTTCAAAGCCAGCTTCAGCAAAAGTGAGGTGCTAAGCAACTCAATGAGTCCCTGTCTCTAAATAAAATACAAAATAGGGCTGAGAATGTGGCTTAGTGGTTGAGTACCCCCCTACAGAAAAAAACACAAAAAAATAAAAAGCCCCACAATAACAAGTTTTTCTTATGTGCCCCTTACCAAAAGGTACAAGAGAATCACAGTTTTACTTTTCTAATCTTAAATTTAAAAAATCTACCCTGACCTAATCAATTTGCCTCCTCTTTATTCCTGTAGCTGTGTTTTTAGAAAGTGGTAATGCTTAAGTGGTTAAGTGCTAGTTCCAGAGGTGAAAGTGGTGAATTCTCAGTGTTTGTTACTTTCCCTCTATTTTACTTAGTAAACAATTTATCTTGATCATCTTCAATGCTGAAGTAAATTAAGAGTGAAGCACAGAAATAGATTTGTATTATTCTGTGGAACTAAATGAATTTTCATAATGCCCATCGAGTAATTTCCATTTTCTAACTACAAAGAGATGGGATGTCCCCACAGAACAGTGCTAACAATATTCTGCCTTGGGCTTTTAAATGTTCTATTTAGAAATCTCATTCAATGTACACAAACATTCCCAAATACAGGCTGAGGAGAGGACTTGAAACTTCATTTGTCACTCTGCTAAAAACATCAAGTGTACTAAGGAAGATAAATGAGAAGGTGTCTTACCTGTGTGTGTTCGTAGATGTTTCTTTAGCTGAGACACATCCATGAATTTGCGTTGACAGTGGGTGCATTCCGGTAATGAGTGGCCTTGTCGCAACAATAAAAAAAGTGTCAGTGCATATATGCTCTCCCTGCATTTCTTCAGTGATTTGTGTTAAAGCACTTCCCTGAAAAATAATCACTTTAAATATGGGACTTTAACAACAAGAGATATTTTTTATTAATTTGGTTAACAGTTAATATTTCCCTATGTACCTCAACTCACTGTTTCCCTGAAAGAACTGGACCCTCTGAGTCCTCCTAAGCATAAACTTTTTCCATCAAAGCACTAGAGTGACTAGCCAGTTGATCTTGCATCATGCTCTTACCCCCTCCTTCATTTCTTATCAGCTGACAGAAAAAAAGAAAAGGAGAGTGACTAGACCAGGTTGGAGAAAGCCTGGACTAACTGCCATAAGTGGTATCTCTCTAGGCATCACTAACAACCTATCAACTGAAGCCCTCTTGGGCAAGTGGCACTTTTAAAAGATACCAATTCTGTAGGGGTTCTGTGTGTGGCATCGAAACTATGATACAAAAATTAAATTTAAATCACACATAGTGTAGAATAACACAACAACCTCTAATTTAGATTGCCTTTTTAAAGACTTTTCCCATAAATACCCATTTATCTTCTATGATATCAACCTAATGTTTCAGAAACAATTTGTCTTTGCATTTTTTTCTCCATTAATCTAGATTTTCTGTCACTTTATGTCATTGTACCTGTATGAACTCGGTAATGACTCTTTAGTTGTCTTTTCTGGCTGAAATACTTTCCACACTGATCACAGGTGAAAGACTTCTGTCCTGCCAAATAAAAGATAAAACACTTGAACCATGCAAAATACTAGAGAGCTAGAATAATCACACACTAATAAGGTAACTAACATAGTGGGCCCAGGTTCCCATTTTCTGTAAATGATACAAATGGATTGCCTATACACCCAAAAGCCTTCAGAGTTTTCAGCAGGAACTTAAAATGTGCAAAGGTATATAAAGGCAAGAGAGAGAAGTGGAGATTGGTGTAGAATTGGAGAATTCAAATTTTCCCCAAAGACATTCAAAGTAAGCTAATTCTAAGCCAGTTTACAGCTCTAATTGAAGGTCAGTGCTGTTTAACTCTGAACTCCACTATGACAGAGGTCTAATTCAATCTTTCAATGACACCATGTGGGAAATGGTATCAGTCTGAGAAAACACTATTTAGATCCCAACAATGTCCACCCCAAGGAATGGGAATCTGGTGGTATGTGGCCCTCTGGTACAAGCCCAGCTACCTGAGTGCAGGCTCATGTGCTCCAGCAGTGAGTGCTTGGTGGTCAGGGCCTTGCTGCACACGGTGCAGGTGTATGGCCGCTCGCCTGTGTGCATCCTGGTGTGGACCTGCAAAGAGTGCTTCTGGGCAAAGCCTTTTCCACACTCATTACATTTGAAGGGTCGCTCCCCTAGAATAAAAGCCCCAAAAGCTTGGTGTAAGCAAGAATCTGCAGGTCTTTCTGTTCCCTCCCAAATTAAAATGATAATAAAGAAGTTTCTCTTAAAGACATATATCCAAAGACCAGTGTTACAGGAGAGACAATGTTGGCAATAAAGTTTGGAAGCTGAAAGAGATAATCCCAAAGCAAGCAGTGAAGAGCAACAAGATACAACCAAATTTTTAAGACAGAGCCTCCAAAAGGCTCAATAACTGTAATTTCTAAACACAGGAGTGAGGGAGGGTAAAGAACAGTCGATTTCAAAGGTAGTTAAGATACCCAAACCCAGTCTCCTATTCCATACAGGCAGGACACTTGCCCTCTGCCAAGAGAAGATGGAAATTATTTTCTAAGACAGTAAAAGAAAATGTTTCTGGATTAAGGATTGTCAGGCACTGGTGAGATGAGGTTAAAGGATATATTTGGGATAATGAGAGGCTACTCAGACACTAGCAGCTAGGCCTAGTGCTTCCAGGTAGGAAAGTAAAGGCCTTTTTCCTAGAAGGTGACTAGCCTAAGGTAAGAGAGCTACAAATGCCCCACCAGGCATCTCTAAGAAAGTAGGGCCCAGCCACAACTTCTCCAGTAAGGCTACTGTTTCATAGGCACTTTCCATACCTGCAAGGTTGGTATGCTTTTAGAAACCTACTCTAACATATGATGAAGTAGGCATTCAAGGAAAGACTTTAGTAGCAGAGACAGATAACAAGACAAGAAGAAGAAGAGAAAAAAGGTATGTGCAGAAAACACAGACGGCCCTGAGTGAAGAAAAAGTTTTTTAAAAATATTTTAAAAGGTGAGGTTCTAGAAGTAAAAAGTATAAAAGTAGAATCAGAAAAATCTCTAAGGGCTGAAAGATAAAGTAGAACTCTCCCTAAAGTACAGCACACAATGATGGAAAATATGAGCAAAATGATGAGAAAATTGGAAGATGGGTCCAGGAGGTTCAACATGCAAACAGCACACCTGGAAAGAGAGAACAGGGAAAATAGAGGGGAGGAAATCATCTATGAAATAATTCAGTAAAGTTTTCTGAAACTGAAAGGAGTTTCTAAACTGTATGGATCTATCTATTATCCAACAAAATGGAAGAAAACAGATCCACATTAAAGTTCCAGAATCCAGAAGGCAAAAGGAAAGATCCTACATGCTGTTTTTTTCCTTAACAAGTCTTACAGAATGATTTAACTCTGTATTTATTTTTTTAATAAGAATTTGTATTTTTAAAAATTATTTACACATGACAGTACAATGATCTTGACATATCATACATTTGAATCAGATGGGGTATAATTTCTCATTTTTCTGAGTGTGATTTAACTCTTTAAATTAGACACATCTGTATCTTTTTTAACTCAGAGCACTTAGCCACTAATCCACATCCCCAGCCCTATTTTGTATTTTATTTAGACACAGGGTCTCATTGAGTTGCTCAGTGCTTCGCTTTTGCTAAGGCTGGCTTTGAACTTACAATTCTCCTGCCTTAGCCTCCCAAACCATGGTATTACAGGCATGCGCCACTGTGCTCAGCTATGTACATATGTATTTTGATTAAAAAATAAAAAACAAAATGCAAGCAGTGGCACATGCCTATAATCCCAGCATCTCAGGAGGTTGAGGCAGGAGGATGGAGAGTTCAAAGCCAGAAACAGCAAGGCACTAAGCACCTAAGTGAGACTCTGCCTCTAGATAAAATACAAAATAGGGCTGGGGATGTGGCTCAGTGGTCAAGTGACCTCAAGTTCAATCCTGGGTACTCCCACCCTCCCCCAAAAGCAACCTAGTACAAAAAAGAACCTGTAATACCAAGATTCTAGATAATTAAACAGGAAGTTCTAGGGGTAGGGGTCAGGCACATAAGCTCTCAGGCAATTCTAATGTGGCTATTGTGAACCATAGCATCAGATGACAGCAAGATGCTAAATGACAGAAGATTTAGTACCAGTCCTTATATTTAAGTTTAAAATTAAAGTGAGGAATATATAAGTGGCAACTATAACCTGTCCCAAAGCAGAGTGAGTTAAGCACCTGAGAGAAGGCTTAAAGGAGGAAGAGATTTCTGGCTAGCACTGCACAGTACAGCATAGTGGATATTCAAATTTTCATTAACTAAAAATTTAAAAGTTCAGTTTCCCAGTCACATTAGCCATAATTTGAGTGCTCAAAATCCTATGAGGTGCCAGGTGCAGTGGTGCTGCAATMCCAGCACCCTGGGAGGCTGAGGCAGGAGGATTGCAAGTTCAAAGCCAGCCTCAGCAAAAGCAAGGTGCCTAGCAACTCAGTGAGACCCTGAGTCTAAATAAAATACAAAACAGGGCTGGTGAGGTGGCTCAGTGGTTGAGTGCCGCTGAGTTCAATCCCCAGTTCCCCCCTACACCCCACCCCCCAAAATCCCATGAGGCTAGTGGCCATTATTCTACATAGTGAAGATAGAGAACATTTTGTCATCACAAGAGTCTAATGGACATCACTGGGCCAGAGGGACCAAAAAGGGGAAAGCATCTATAGCTAGAGGGCTGAATTATAAAGTTACCAACACAGAATTGAGCAAAAGAATGTTTTGGTCAAGATGAAGAATGTTTAAGAATCACAAAGCAGAGCGAGTGGGGCCAAAGCTTGATAACTGGATGAGGCTAAAGCTTTGAACCAACTATTCCAATTAAGAGGGGTTCTGGAATCAGGTTAGCAGGGTTCATATCCCAGCTCTCTTACAAAATGGGTGACCCTCGGCAAGTTATTCAAGCTTTCTGGGACTCAGTCTTTTCATCTGTAAAACAAGCATAATATTACCTATCCAGCAGGATTACTATGAGAATTACATGTAGTAACTTGTACAAAGGCTATATTACAATGCCTGTCACATGTAAGACACACAGTAAATACAAGCTATTATTATCATTACTATTCCAAATTCCAAAATGCATTGCAATAAGCTGCAAAAGTGTAATTACCTGTGTGGCTCCTCTGATGGATTGCTAAAAAGTGATTGTATTTAAAGACTTTGCCACAGTCTTTACAGCGGGCCTCAGGACCACTGGGGCGCTTTCTCCTTCCATATATCCTCTTGGCTGAAGCCTGGTCGTCTTCATCCCCAACAAGTTTATAATCTTTAAGTTTGACAGACCTCCGAATCCTCCGCTTGCTGCATCTACTCTGGTGGTCCTGCCCATCCTGGGTCTTGGGATCACAGTTCTCATCTTTTTCAGTGGGCATCTCCTCCATTCTACCTGGTTCACAAGCAGGGTCAGATCCTTCCTTTTCTTTTACTGGAATCTGTTCATTCAGTACACCATTGTCTCCTTCTTTAACCGCAAAGTTTTGTCTATTCTGAACCGAATTGTTCACTCTTAGCTGGATTTCCTCCTCTGCAGCCTGTTCTGATTTCCCTTCCTGCAAACTATTGACTTTTCTTGGTCTTCCCCGTTTCCGTTTTGGAGGATCATTTTTCTTATTAGAAATAACAACGACTGGAGTACCAGCTCTGTTCAAAGTTGTTGGCTTTGGGGAGTTATGATTATTCTGGAAGTCTGTATAAGCCTTTATCAAGTCGTAGACTTTTAAGAACTGAGCAGTAGCCAGGATTTGTTCTGTACTTTTCTCACTAGCATGGAGATAACCTGTGTAGATAAATTCTAGCAGGATGCCAAAGGTGTCTGCAACCATGCCTTCCAGCATATAAATGGACTGGCCAATCTCCCCCTCCTCTGCAAACATCATTGAGAAATATTCGCTACTAGCAGCAAGTAAGGCTTTGTGGGCCCGGAAATGCACATTCTCCACAATTAAAGTAATGTCACAGAGAAAGCCTTTCTTTCTCTGATCCTCAAAACTGGCCAGGACAGTGTCACTGTGAGTATCTGAGTGAACAACAAGCTGTTCAGAAGGCTGTGGTGATGTTTCTGCCATTTTCTTTAGAAGTCAAGGAGGCTTAAATTTAAAATAAGAAGACAATGTTTAATAGGGAGGAAGCATTGTCTAATAATGGTTCGTATGAACCTGCATTAACCTCACATTGTTTAATGAATTTTACTACTACTTTTTTTTGCAATTAAACATATAATCATTATTTCACTTTATCATATTCAGTTATTGATGCTCAATACATAGCATAAAAACATCAGATAAGTAGACAGAAACAGATATTTAGCCTCCATCTCAGAAATACTGCACCAAAATTATCAGATAAGTAGATATAGATCTACATCCCGTATTTCAGATAAGAGGAACAAGAGGGACAGGGATGGTAATGGGAAGGGGAGTGAAATTGATCAAACTATGTTATATGTATGAACTAATATGCCACAACAAAATACCACTAATATATTAATTAAAAATTTAGAAATAATCATTCCAGAATAGAGAAATCAATAGAAATATATTAGTGTCCGCCAGGAAGTAGTGGGGGGTTGGGGTGGATGAATGGGAACTGAGTACTACTAGAAAAAGAGGTTTGAGGGTGGTGTAGTGAGGTTTGTACAACTCTAAATGTATGAGGTATCACTGATTTGAATAAAAAGGGTAAATTTTATGGCACATTAATTATCTCAAAAAATCTGTTATTTTTTTAAGTCTACTTAAAAACTTAGCCCTGGGTCTTACTCCCGTTGCACCTGATTTTGCTACGTGAATTTCCAACATCCTTTGAATCTCTCACATTCGCCTCTGGAAATGACGGAATAAGATCAAACATCTGTAAAGTCCTTCCCCGCACTAACTTTTATGGATGCGCAAATATCGTAGTGAGAACTACACCTGCCCTGATCTTGCACATTATCAGCTATTTTTCATCTATGAAATATGAAAAAAAGCTAAGAAAATGTTCGCGTACAAAGCGAATCTGGGAGAAGCTGCAAAGTTAAAACAACGTAAGCCACAAGGGGTCTTGCACGGAACCGCTACGTGGAAGGGCCTGGCTGGAGCCACACGGCGCTCGGCGCCGAGACCCCAGCTCCATTACCCGCGCCAGTCCCAACCCCGCAGAGTCGGGAGCGACGGCACGTGACAGCCACCGCCTCCAGGCCCAGAACCGCGGGCCCGCCAGGAGGACAGCCGTCTAAGGGTCCGCGCAGCCGCGGGTTCCGCAGCTCAGGGACCGCGGGCACCCAGCGGACTTACCTCTTATGGGCGCCCGGCGCGGTCCGGGCCGCGGCCCAGCCTACCTGGAGGCCAGGCGGGCAGCCCCACGCCGGCCGCCCAGGCCCCGGCTTGCCCAGGCCGCAGCTAGGATTCCTGGGYCGCGGATGCTGCTTCTGCGTCGGCGCAGCCAACCCGGAAGCGCGGCGCGCGGACGCCAGACCACGTGGCCCAGGACACGCCCCTCTTCGGGCGGGGCGGGCGGCACCGCCCAGAAAGCCAGGCAGGTGTTGTAATTGTGCTTTGCGGAGTTTCTCATGGTTTTGGACCGTTAGCTCCTCACCATTGCGGTAATCAATTTTGCCTCTTCCCAGACGCTGAATCTGGCATTAAGGGCGCGAATGTGTGATAAACGACCGAAATCGCCTCTACCTTTCATTCCTGTCGTCGTCGTCGTCGTCGTCATCGTCATCGTCATCGTCATCATCATCATCATCATCTAATTCTATATTATAGCTATTATTTACCTGCTAGATGTTTTTCACATCTGCCTCCCTTTCCTCCCCACTTCCAACTCTGTAGTCCAGGGCAGCGAAGATCGCACTCTAGTCCAACAGACCTGGGTTCTGAGAGACCTGGACAAGTTACTTGTCCTCACACTCTTGTTTTCTTAAAATGGAGATATTAACACTAGTGCCCTGTTGGTAGGATTGGCATGATGTTAGCAAGAACAAGTATATAGTGGGCTCAGTAAAAGCCTGGTTTAATTCACGGTTGCTGAGACTAAAAATATCATTATTATTTGAACTTTCATCATCTCTCTTCAGTAGACTGTTAAAGGTTTCTACATAGTCTTGGTTGCAGTGTGGTTCCCTGTAAGACACAGGCATTTGGGAGGTGTCTCCAAGTATAAATCACAGGCAGAAACAAGAGTCACACCCCCCTTTAGATTCCACTGTGGCTCCCATATGCCCTCTGGATAAAGCTTAAGCTCTTGATATAAAGCTTAAGCTCTTGATATAAGCACAGCTCAAGTCCATTTCCACCCCCTCTTCCAATGATTTATTTCAGCATTTTCCCTCTTGATTCATGCTTTATTAATACCGAATTGCTTATTTATTTTCCCCTCCACTTCCAGATCTCCAGCATGCCATCTACAGCCTTCATGATTTTGAAGCTGAAGATGTAATTACCAGTCTCTTAAATGTTACTAGTTTTTCTTAAAATTGGTTTAAGCCACACATTACCTCTAAGTCCTCCAGATTTGTAGGGGTCCAAATGGGATAGTGGGAGCTCTCCCTGACTTCTGCATGCCAGCAGAGCAGAGGTCAGTACAAGACTTGGCTGCTCCATTGTTTTTTGCTGCCACAGTATTGCAATAAAAATGGTGCAGTAAAAACTGTGGGCATCTACAAATTAGGTGTAGTAAACAAACTAGATAAAAATTTTAAATGAGAGTACCATTTAAATGTATCAGTAATGCTATGTTTTAAGGGTAAGATATTGATTACCTTTAGATTTTGTGTATTCTTGTTAAAAGAGTAGGATAGCTTCTCAATGGATGGAAACAGAATGCATAACTTTGACAAGTGTAGAGAAATCTAATCAATCCAAAAGAAAGTAAAAGAAAAGGATAGAGAAGATGTTAAAAAGGTAGAAAGGCTTAGGTCACGTAAAGTCTTTTATGCCAAGAATAAGAAGGCTGGATTTTACTTTAATTGAAATGGGGACCAATGGAAGATCTCATAAAGACTGGTGAAATCTGATTTATGTATTTAAGGACTACTCCAGCTGCAGGAGGAAGAGTAGATCCTAGAGGGACTTGGATACAGAGATAGGGATTAGGGTGAACAGTGCAAGATGTGAAAAAGCCCATATTCAAGGTATTTGGTGGTGTGGGGGTGGGGGTCTGACAGCATTTGCTGAGAAAGTCAATTGGAGGAGTGAGGGAAAGAATGTAATCAAGAWTGACCCTGGGTTTGGGGCCAGATCATTTGTACAGTGTTACCATTCATTTATCTGGAGGAAGAAGATTTGGATTGGGTAACAAGTAGAAGATGGACCTATTAATTAAATTTGAGATGTCAACTAGATAGCCATATCTGACATACAATATGAATTAAAGAATCAGGATTCAGTGCTGAGAATGGAATTGGGGATAAAATTTTTTTTAGATGTTGATGAACCTTTATTTTATTTATTTATTTATGTGTAGTGCTGAGAATCACAACCTTTTTTTTTTTTTTTTTTTTTTTGTGTGTGTGTGTGTGTGTGTGTTTTAGGGAGGGTACCCGGGATTGAATTCAGGGGCACTCGACCACTGAGCTACATCCCCAGCCCTATTTGTGTTTTATTTAGAGACAGGGTCTCACTGAGTTGCTTAGCGCCTTGCTTTTACTGAGGCTGGCTTTGAACTCGGGATCCTCCAGCCCCTTCCAAGCCTTCCAAGCCCCTGGGATTCCACCATGCCTGTTGAAATTTAGAATATAATAGTAGAATTAGCAGAGCATAGATTATGAACTATTTAAGTTGAATCACTTACAGAGTGACTATTGGTAGATGAAATGGAATATCCAGAGTTTTTCTTTCTTCTCCCAATCCAATTTCTATCCTGTCCAATTCATTTGACCTTGGGAAGGCTGAAAGGACTCAAGGAGACTTTATCAACAGAGCCCTGTGCCTACTGGTTCAGGAGAACCAGGCAGGAGACTGGAGGAAGGAGAGGGTCATGATCAGTTGGCAGTTAAAGGCTGGAGGAAGCCATCGATCATACTCTAGAACTGTGACATATGAAGGTGGTGGAGCTCAGAAGACATTTCTTGGATTTGTACAATTCTCAGGGTGAAGCTGTAGCYCCTCCCCCATACCCACACTCTGTTTCTTTTGCTTTTTATTCTGTCCTGACTGAGAAACACAGGGTGTCTTGATGCCTCTAGGATTAGTCCAGCTACATGTTTTCAAGACAGGCTTGAATCCAAGCAAACACTGATAAAGTAGTTAAACTGTTGCCCTAAATACTAAAAGAAACTAACCTGGGCCTTAAGCCAAATTCCTTAAACCTTCTTATACAAACCATGGCTTGACCTCTTCCTTGTGGAAATACCTCTGTAGAATACCCGTTATCTCACTGCAGCCCCTTCTATACATCAGTTCCTCTAAATGCTTTGGACTGATCACCTGGCATACTGCTTCTTTCTTTGGAATCCAAACTGGCCCTGTCTTGAATGTGGGAGGTTTCCTGCTCTAGCCAGGGGATCAGCAGGAAGAAGCAGAAGTCATATTAGAGAACATGATCCCAGGAGATGGCTGATGTCCCGTGGTTCTGGACTCGCTCTTGAGCATGTGAAATACTCTCTGGAAGTCCAAGGAAACACTTGGGTGTATTCTGATGGGACTGGTGTCCTTCATAAGAAGAAATGAAATGTGCTAAAGGAAATTCAATTTACCTATAGACTGAAACTTGGGAACATCTGTATCCTGTTAAGAATGAAAAATTCGGCAGAAGGTAGTCTGGTGATAGGAATATGGTAAATTACAGGTAGTAAGTAAAGGAAGGGAGTTAAGAGAGGGTGGAATTTACATCAACAGAAAACTTTGTAGCTCCAAGCAACTACTCCCCAGCTCCTGAACCAGGCTTTGAGGTTTATCCTAAATTTGATAATAGGCTTCTATTTGTTTAAAAATTATTTTATTATAAAATGTATAATAAAAATATATGTAAAACAGGCTTAAAGTTTTTAATTAGCTTTATTGAATTATAGGGATCAAGGAGCTAAATCATTCATTTTAGAGATTAAAAAACTAAGACTCAGAGAATTCAAGATTTACTGGTTACATAATTAATGTTTGTATTTTTGAGAGAGCCAATATTACTATTTAATATTTTAGATTTTAATTCTGCTGCTGAAAAATTGACTTTATTTTTTTAAATCTCATTCAGATTCAATTAGTACATTTTCCTCTATTTTATATATTTTGATAGATGTCATATAATAAGAGTTCATCTTTCCTAAAATTTCAGGTGATTTCTAATTACAAAACAATATATAAAGTATGCTTCAGTTTGCTCTCAACTTCAAGAAAAGAGGCAGGCAGGCAGACAGTTACTTCAAAATTACCCATTTATTTTGTTGGGAAAATGATAGTGTGTTATGTTCACAAAGTTTATAAACAACTCCTATGTAAAAAGTATAAACAAAATTTCTGGTTTATATCAATGTTAATTTTGCTTCTCAAAGCTTTATAACATTTTATATGAGTAATTTTAACTGAGATTTTTCTACTGAAAATTTAGAAAGGAAAATAAGTTTATTAAATAAAATAGGTTATTTAAATATCCTAAATGAAATTAAATAAATATCTGTTTTGTTAAAGCATCAAAGTTTCAGGCAAAGAGCAATACACTTTAAAATCATATTCAAATTTATTCTTACAGAAGAGCAACTTTTCCTGGCTAGTAGACCTTTTGAGTCCATTTGAATTCTGGCAACCATGGAACATCACTCAGGGAAGGAAATGTACTTCACAGAGGGAGAGATTTTTCAGTTTTCTCTCAACTTTCTTCTATCACCTGGAGATAACTCTTGAGATTCAGATTGTGGAAACCTAAGCAAACTATCCACTAAGTGGGTCTATATTTTTAAGGGAGAGAAAGGTCTGTAATTTATGATCAAAGTCAATTGCTCTAAACTGAGGTTCCTTGTATTGTCTGGTCATCTTATCACCCAAGTACGTTATGAGTTCACATCTCTCCATAAACTGTTCCATCTTCTTCTTATACTTTTTTCTTGTATATTCAGAACCTTTGGGATTAAATGCTGTAGAAAATTCCACAGAATTTTTGTGAATGTTTTTTGATAGGTTAGTGAGTTATTAACTGAAAGAGAAATAAATCTGGGTACACGTGTGAGTGAGTTGCACAGTGATGGATGGCTAAGGAGACAGTCACTTTCCAGACAGGATTTGAGGAATCTATTTTTGACCATAATTGTCTATATTCACCTTTCTTTGTGGCAAGGATTATTAAGAACTAACTATATTAGTTATAGTCCTTGCTTTAAAACTAGTTATTCAGTTTTGATATTTTTTGTTATTTTGTATTGCATCTGCCCCTCCCACTCTCTCTTTCTCTTCAATGAAGCAACCAGCCCAGTTTAACAATCCTATTTATCTTATTTATAATGTATACTACAATGAATGATAAATTAGTTCTGAGCAGTGTAGACATACCTTTTAGATGGAATGCTATATACAATAATGCAGATCTCTGTACACTTAAGAAGGGGAATTTGGGCTTCAGGCATCCTGCTGCATTCATTGCTTTAATTAAAGAAGATGCAGTACCCTGTAGGAAGGGAATAATTTACATCATGTATTTATTTGAGTTTGGTTTCTTTTCTCAGTGAAGATAAATAGAGAGGCCTATTCCTTTCCTCAAATAACCTCCCTGAGGTTGTGAATGAGGGTTATAAAGAAAGTCAGACAACCATTTAGCCAACAGGAAAGAATATACTAACTACATTTAATTAGGAAAAATGAGATGTAAATTGACTTAGTACCAGTTGGGTAATGGATACATGCATGAGCTTCATTACACCATTCTATTTTTATATGTGGACATTTTCCATAACAAAAAAGAAAAGAAAAAAGAAAGAAGGGACCACTGGGCTTTGAGCTATCTGGGCTCACCTCTGCTTCAAAAGATCAGAATTATCACCACACTCAAAATTCTAGAGCTCAGAAGATAAGAATTTAATGATAAAATTTGGCCTTTATGAGAATATTTTTCTCTGGGTGAGCTTCCCTGGAATTTTGATGTTTAACCAGACTGAAGACTAACTTTCTAGCACATTGAAAAAGACAATGTAGTTAAGAATTTGTGATAAAGGTATAAAATTGTGCCCTGGGCATTTATTTTATAGAATTTTAAAAAATAGCTGTCAAAATAGTAGTTAACTACTGATAAACTTACTATTTTAAAAAGAGTTACATCCAAATTAAATAAGATGACACCAGTAGATAGTTTCATCTGGATTTGGGGCAAAATACTTGTCTGGTATTGCAGTTTGACTCTTGAGCAGTGAAGAAGCTGCTTGGAGACTGAATCTGCACATTTCAACTTATGAAAAAATGTACAGACTGAAATTTTAAAATGGGAACCAGCTGGGCATAGTGGCACATGACTCTACTCCCAGCAACTTGGGAGGCTGATGCAGAAGGATCACAAAGTTCTAGGCCAACATCAGTGACTTAGTGAGGCCCTAAGCACCTTAGCAAGACCCTGTCTCAAAAGGAAAAATCAAAAGGGCTGGGGGATGTGGCTCTGTGGTGAAGTTCCCTGGGTTAAATTCCTAGTACAAAAAAAAAAAAAAAGAAAGAAAGAAAGAAAGAAAGAAGGAAAAAGAAACCAAACAACTATAAGTCAAATGTAAGTAAATTTATATGATCTACTCTTTCTTCACTCTAGTGCAGATATTTAGGAATTGGCTGTGGAAGTAGGGGCTTTTCACACATTTTACCCTTAAGTACATTAAGAGTGGATTTTTAACTTAAATTCATAAAACTTTGTCTTGAATTTCAATGCTACCAAAATAAAAATTGAAAAGAATAGACCATTGTATTCTTCTAATGTGTATCACAGAAAAATCATGTAACAAAACCTGTTCCAGATAGCCAGGCAAAGGGAGACTAGTAAGGTTTATTGGTTCCTTTAATGGAGGTAGTTTGTGTGGAAGCTTCTGATCCCAGTATTTCAGTGGAAACCTAAAAACACAAAGTTCATTAAATGGATGCTCATAAATATACTCATTCTGCACATTCAGAAATATAGATGTACAATTCATTTGGGATCCCAGCCCTGTTCACCTTGTCTTATTTTTCACAGCAACTATATAGAACTTTCTTTATTCTCTAGTTTGATTTTCTAAGTACTTCCTTCTATCCCTCAGGCAGATGCCATGTGATATACAGGAAGGAAGCCATCTGGATGGAAGCCATCCTCTATCGGCTGCTCAAGCAAAGCCACACATATGGTCCTCTTTCCTGGCAGACCTTCTATCTAAGACCAGTCCCTGGCCACACTTGGTTCCCTACTGCATCCTCTCCCCCCCATGTATCTTACTATGGCAGTTTCTCTCTCCTTCTTTATTGAATTCTTCCCATATATCTGCATTTAAATACACTCATAATTCCTTTATTAAAGAAAATCCAACTTCACTCCTTCAGTCCTTTACACTGCTCCCAGCAACTAACAGCTATTTTCTTACTACGGTTGAAACAATGAGTCTTCCTAGAGATCACAAACTAACTGAGTTCTAGCTACAGAAGTGATGGGATCTACATGGTATTTTATTTAAACATTCGAAGCAGTCATGAATGTTTAATAATCATAAAGTTTAAAGAAAATTCATTTCCAACTTCTGTGGGAACAAGAACTGTCTGGTAGTACATGAGCAACTGCTGTCCCCTTTAGCCAGGGGCTGTGGGGTCCAGTTTGCAGCCCTTCCCACCACTTGCCACTTGTCCTCTTTCATAAGCAACCGGCTTCCCTTTGCTCCTTTTCCTCCTGTCTGCTGAGGACATCTGTGTTTGTAATCTCTGAACTACAGGAGGTCCTAATCCTCTCATCTCTCTTCCACTCCACTCCTCATCTCACTCTAATCAACATTATTCCCAAGATCACCAGTGGCTTGGGATGACCAGAATCTCACAGGCATTTCAGTCCTTGTGTAGCTTGACCTCCCAACAGCATTTAAACCTGTTGGCCATTCCCTCCCACAGACTTTCTGTCTTTCCCTCCACCTCCCCATAGCCTCCTATCCTGCTCTCCTTTMATCTCTCTGTGGTTCTTTTTATGGGGTTCTTCTTTTTCAGTCTCCCATGTAAATTCTTCTGACACTGCTGTGTGGGTGTTTAGCAGAGTGTAGTCCCAAGCCTGCTGAGGCAATATCATAGTATTTTGGACAGAACCACACTATCGGCCTCCTAAATGGTATTCCTGCCTCTAACCCAAACTCAACACTCCATAGTGGTCTCCCTCTGGAACAAATCTGATTCTAACACTGACCTACCTTAATACCAGACAGTGTATTTATACTCTCCTTAGGGTCAAGTCCAAGTGCTGTATGGTGGTTTTATTTACCCTCTGCACTCTGGCCCTGCTCACCTCCTCCAGCCTTACTTCTGCCTCTCTCCCTCTCCACATCACATCCAGCCATGCTGAATTTCTGCAGTTGCCTGATCCCCAGGGCCAGATTTTGTCCCTTTATCCAGCCCATTCTCAGTCCTCATTTAAACAATTCAGTTGTGCCTTTGGGCTGCATGTTTTGATTCCAGAACTCTAGGTGCTTCCCGCCCTTGGGCCCCATCACAGGCTGTTGTTATCAGGTACTTGAAGTCTATTTTACCAGAAGCCTCAGGATTTGGGACAGCAAGGACTAGTCCTTGCTCTCTACTCCTCCATTTCCCAGCACGGTGCATGGAACACAGAAAATATTCAGTGAATATTTATGACTTAGTAAATAATCTCACCTTAGGAATTTATCAAGTTTTTCTTTACTCTCACAAATATATATACGATCACGGTATTCTACAGCATAATTAATGTTACCAGGTACGAGGGCTTCATATCTGAAAGATCAAAACCAAAGCAAAATAAAAAACACCCTTCTGTGTAAACAAAATGTCAATGTTTTCTTTTTCTACTTATGCAGCTCAAGGAAGAAACAGAATATTTTCCCAATTAAAAAGTAGCAGTCATTCTGGGGATTGAACTCAGGGGCACTCAGCTACTGAGCCACATTCCCAGCCCTAATTTGTCTTTTAATTTAGAGACAGGGTCTCATTGAGTTGCTTAGTGCTTTGTTTTTGCAGAGGCTGGCTTTGAACTCATGATCCTCCTGCCTCAGCCTCCCGAGCCACTGGGATTACAGGTGTGCGACACAGCACCAGCCTGATCTTTTGATCAAAACTATGCTATGAAGTACTCATTCTGAATAGGGGCAACTTTCTATACTTCTCTGAGGGTGAGGACTTGCCTTTGTTTTCCATCCTGATAGGTCACCGGACAATAGCCCTGGAGTTCTGCACACTTGGGGAATCGACTCTTCAGCTCTGACAGCGTCAGCCTTTTGGGAATCCTGTCAGCAGGTGGGAGTGGATGAGGTGCCAAGGGAGTCACRTACAATTCTGGGTTTTCCAAAAATTTCTGTTAAAAAAGGATTACAGAAGCAAGACCATTTAAAACAGCTACAGTATACCTGTAAAAAATCCATGGAGGCTCTCCTGTTCTTTTCTCCATTTTCAGTTGCAATGTTGTGCCCTTCAAATCACCTGAGAGCTGTTCTCCACACTATGATAACTTTTCCAGTAGGAAGTTCCATATGGTAATCTCCCAGATGATCATGTCTCTCCTCACCTCATTCATTCATATAAAAATGAATTGTTGAGCTTCAACTATGTGACAGGCAGTGTGAATCACCTGCTGGCCTGTCTTCCTGTCCTGCAGTGTAATTAACTAGTTGAGTAATGCCCTTTGGAAGGTGAATTAACTTCTCTAGAGTCAGTTACTCTGTAAAATGGACAGGGTAGGCCAGATACATGATCTCTAATGTCACTTCTACTTTTTAAGTTTTGGGAATACTATTTAAAAAGAGGAAAGAAATGAATTATCTCAACAAAGAAATAACAATAATTCTACTTCTTCAGAGGAAAATAAAATGTTCAGAGACATCTGATCAGTTTTCATTATTGCCTTCAACTACTAACCATTTTATATCATCAAATTATGGATATTATAATTCCAGAACAAAACCTCATTTTTGTTCCATTAAACAAAAGTACAGTCAGGCATGGTGGCACGTGCCTGTAATCCTGGCTACTTGAGAGGCTGAGGCAGGAGATCACAAGGTGGAGACCAGTCTGGGCAACTTGTCCCCAAATAAAAACTAAAAAGGGGTGGGGATGTAGTTTGGTGATAGAGCACCCCTGGCCTAAGTCTCCAGTGCTACAAAAACAAAGAAAAAAAAAAACACATCCCAGAAGTACAGTTGACCTTCCATATCCATGGACATAAACAGCTGGTCCTCTCTATCAGCAGGGCCTAAATCCTTGGGTTCAACCAACCAGGGATAAAAAATACTCAGGAAAGAAACATTGGTTCTATAGTGAACATGTACAGACTTTCCCTGTCATTATTCTCTAAACAAAACAGAACAACAACTAGTTATGTGGCATTTACATTGTATTAGGTATTATGAATAATCTAGAGATGACATAAAGCATATGGGAAGGTGTGTGTAGGTTTTATGCAATACTATGCCATTTTGTATAAGGGACTTGACTTTCATGGATTTTTGTATCTTTGTTTGGAGGTGTACTGGAACCAATCTCTACTGAGGGAAAACTGTATGAAAAAAATTTTAAGGGTTGGGAACATAGCTCAGTGGTAAGTATTCTCCAAGCATGCATGAGGCCCTGGGTTTGATCCCAGTACTGCTAAAACAAAAATAAAACAAAAAACCACATACACTTTTTTAAAAGTACAGTACACAGTAGTATATAGTAGACATATGTCACCTGTTGTTTCATTTCTATTGACTTTTTTTGGTCCTTGGGAGTTAACCCAGGTTCACTTTTGCACTGAGCTATATCCCCAGTCCTTTTTATTTTCTATGTTGAGACAGGATCTCATCAATTTTCTTAGAGCCTTGCTAAGTTGCTGGGGTTGGCCTCAAACTTGCAATCCTCCTTAGTTGCTGGGAGCACAGGTGTGTACCACCGCACCAAGCCTCTATTGACTCTTTTCTTTACTTTGCAGCCTTTGGAGATGAATCTCCTGGATGCCCACCTATGAGTTGAGGCCTCTATGCTCAGCACCCTCTATATTGGTGAGGCTAATCATATGCTCTCCCTATCTGATAGCTGGCGAAGGCCAAGAGCCCATCACTGCCCCAGGGCTTCTGCTATTTCAAAATATGTTCTGAGATTTACTCTCAAGACTGATCACTGGTTTCAGAGACAAAGATTCCAATAATGGGGCTTCTGGTCCCAAGTTTCTGGGTGTTTCCAGGAGTGGCCACCCCTTGCTCTTTGAAGAATTCCAAGATAAGGTACTTTCTATCCTTGGTAAGTATTTGGATTTAGGAAAAAAACTTACATTTAGTTTTTCCTGGGAACTCATTTTATAATAGTGACCTCTGAACTCTGCTGCAAATTCCAAGGAGTCAGTTACAGAGCAGTCACATAATTCATATGATTCTGCCAGGCTGACAGGGCAGAACTGTCCAAATTCTCCCAGGCGAGAAATCAGTTCTTGAGGTGTGATACACAACTTGTCGATGAGGGCAGCTTTCCCTGTTATTAATATATTATTATTATTATTATATATTTTCATATGAAACAAAGATTTTTAAAAAAATAAAATAATTTCAATTACACAGCACTACACAAAAATACCAAGCATTTAAAAATTCCAAATGATAAAGTAAAAAGTCAAAGTTACTATTYATACCTCCGACATCTCAAACTAACACCCTTCCCGAGAGGTAATCATTGTTAGGTTTATATCCTTTTCAGTCTTTTTTCTATATATTTGCATATATCATATTTTTGCATCTAGTGTGCTTATGTCACTGTGCCCTAAAATATTATTCTGCAACTTGTTTTTATCAGTTAGTCATGGTCTTTGATATCTTTCTATATTGGTTTATATGATTTACCTAATTTTTTGAATTGATACACAGTACTTCACTATATAAATATACATATAGTTTACTTAACTATCTATTGATAAGTGTTCTGTTTTAGTTTTTAGCTATTATAAACTATATATTATAAACAATATTAATATAAGCCTACGTAATTATTTATGTGCGTAAAAACTGGAATGTGTGTGTATGGGTATATATATGTAAATGTATGTATATATATAAATATATATATATATATATATATATATATATATATATATATATATATATATATTTTATATTTAAAAAATTTCTTTGGGATCAGGAAATGGAAATGCAAATAGGACATGATATTACTGACACTAATTTTTCATTGTGNAGCTATTATAAACTATATATTATAAACAATATTAATATAAGCCTACGTAATTATTTATGTGCGTAAAAACTGGAATGTGTGTGTATGGGTATATAAATGTATGTATATATATAAATATATATATATATATATATATATATATATATATATATATATATATATTTGCTATATATTTAAAAAATTTCTTTGGGATAGATTTCAGGAAATGCAAATAGGTTGTTGACATGATATTACTGACACTAATTTTTCATTGTGTCCAGATGCCACCCTAGGGAAGAGAAGAAACATGTATCCAAAAAGGATTGGATTTACCCTAAAGAGGATGTTTTAGAAAGAAAGAGTCCAAGGTCCTTTAATGGATAAGTTTAAGAGTTTTCTTCTATTAGAGCGGGGACTCCAAAGCAATATGAGATGTTACAGAAAATTAAATTTTTTTATACATCTTAGTATAAAAAATGAGTGAATTTGATGCCAATATATTTTAAAAGTAGTCCTTTCATTCATTAAAAAGGATGAAATTCTGTCATTTGCAGCAAAATGATGGAGCTGGAGGACACTATGTCAAGTGAAATAAGCCAGACATGTAAAGATAAATATCACATATTAATCTTAGAAAAGAAGAATAGGACAGTGATTACTAGAGGCTAGGAAGAGGAGGGTGTAAGGGAGACAGAGGGTACCAAAATAGAGTTAGACTGGAGGAATAAGCTGTAGTGTTCTACAGCATAGCAGGGTGACTTACGTTTATAACTTAACATAATTTACGAAGAATTGGAAGAGAGGAGTTTGAAGGCATCAAACACAGAGAAATGATAAGGAGATGTGTTATGGTTTAGGTGTGAGGTGTTCCCCCAAGCTCCTGTTAATGCAGAAATATTCAGAGGTAACATGATTGAATTATGAGACCTGTGACCTGACCAGTCCATGTGGTCTGAATGTAGTAACTGTGGGCAAGTGCGGTGCAGCTGGAGGAGGTGGGTCACTGGGGACCTTCCCTGGAAGAGTTGTTCTCTCTGTATCTCTTTCCTGACCCTGACCTGAGCAGAGAGCTTTCCTCTGCTGGGCCTTTCCCTCATCATGTGCTGCCTCACTTTGGCCCAGAGTAATGGAATCAGTCATCTACGGACTGAGGCCTCTGACACCATGAGCCCCAGATAAACTTTTCCTCCTGTAAGTTGTTCTTGTTCGGTGCTTTGATTACAGTGATGCAAAAGCTAACTAAAAAAGGGCTGATATCTAAATGTCCTGATTTGACCATTACACATGTGTACCTGTACTGATTATCACACTGTACCCCACAAATATTATTATTATGTGTCAAGTAAGAAGAAAAAAATAAATTAACAAGTGATAGTTTGAGTAGCAGCAGTCATTTTTTAGAAAAAAAAAATAGATATCCCCACATATTTTAGTCCATTTGGGCCACTTACCAAATGTCTTAGACTGGATAACTGATAAACAACAGGAATTTATTGCTCATAGTTCCAGGTGGGGAAGTTCAAGATCAGGGTGCCAGAAGACTTGGCATCTGGCACTTTCTTGCTGCATCCTCACATAAAAGAAGGGGTAAAGAGTTTCCCTCAAGCCTTCATAATAAGGGCAGTAATCCCATTCATGAGGTCAGAGACCTAGAGACGTCATGACCTAATCCCTTCTTAAAGTCCCCACCTCCTAAATCTATTGCATTGGGGATTGAATTTCAACATATGAATTTCTGGAGGACATAAAATTTCAGACCATAGCACCACAACAATTGAATAGTACCTATATACTTAAAATAAAAATACTGCTTAGGATTGTTGGGACAAATGTTCAAATTTAATAAATTGTGGTAATATGGGTCGGATATGTTTAAACTTTACATTCACACTTTATTTTACATTTTAAAATATTTTCTTACCTTCTCGTATTCTTTCCAGGTATGTCTGCATGTGTTTGTTTATCATGCAAATTTTCTTAGTGACTTCATTCCACACCCACCACTTACTGTGAAGTCCGTCAATCACATACCAGTTCTGATGCTGTTCTTGATAATATTGCCTAATCTCACCAATATTTTTACGGTACTTTGCATTCTTGACAGCTATAATCTGAGCACTGTTGTGCAATGGATAAGGCAAACTAATAGAGAAATAGAGAAGGAATGGAAAAAGCTGTTAAAAACATAACTTTTTCCCTCTCAGTGACTAAAATTCATTTCTTTGTCATTGATTTTAAATCGTGTACATTACTTTTGTTCACTTTTTTTTTCCAGGAACAATCTTTTGAAGATCTCCTTGGAAGGCACGTCCAACTCAAAGATGATCATGGGAATGATGGAGTTGGTTTCCAAGAGATTCATCTGATATGCAGTTACAGGGTACCCATCGATGACAACGCTTAACACAGAGAAACATGAAAATAAAAATTCTGCATTTCTTCTTTCTTGTGCTGCCTTCCAGAACATGTCCATCTTTTCAGGACTGACCCTAGGCTTTTCCTTATGTAACTCAGTTTATCTAGGTATTTGACAATAATGTCTTAGACCAGAATGTTAGCATAGGAGAGAGAAAGAAGTGGTTTAATTTGAGATGATAGGCAGAAATACATACAATTTATTCATTGACTGGATGAAGCAGAGAGGGGAAAGGAATATATGGAGGATGAAATTTTAGCTTTCTTAAGCAACATAGAAATAATATGGTATAATTTAGTAATAGGAATGGGTGAAGGTGATATCAGAATTTGCATTTATAAGTATCTATGTTTAAAACAACAGATCAACTTGTGAAATACATTCAGAATTTAAAAGGCATTCGAATGAGTCAAAAATGAGAAAATAAGTATTTTGGATACTTAGTCTCAAACTTAAAATACATGTATTTGGGAGTGATGAACTCTGATAGCTCCCAGTTTAGACAGACAAGGGAGCCAGTTTATCCTCTTGTGCTTTATCTTCTTCATTTCTATACCCTAAACCTCAGTCAGCCCAGGAGCCAGGAGGTGGGCAGTACACACAGGGACACAGTTGGGAAGGCAGAGGTAGGAGAGAGGTCTGTATGCAGACACTTAGCATTGCAGAACTAGGTTTTGGCAGAATTTAAGAGAAAACAGAATATTTTAAACACAGTGCTCCAGTTGTGCTATTAGAGTAAGCATGAGCAGCAGAAAGAACATAGACAGACCCAGATTTGAAACCTGGTTTAAGCTCTCTGAGCTTGAGTTTTTAGTAAAACAGAGGAAATGATATTCAACCTTTTAAAAGAGCAGGTATGTACTAGAATAGAACCTGGCATATATTAGATGCTCAGTAAATAGATGTTCTGGGAGGAGAGAGACACTTTTTTGTGTGTGTGTGTGGATATTCTGTGAGGAGGCTGTGATACAGAAGGGGAGATGCAGAGTTGGCAAGTGGAGCCTGATGATATCTGGGTAGGAATCATTCCGTCAGGATTCATCATGCGTGCCTCTGAATAGAAAGGCTGAAGGGAATTTGTTAGTCCAACAGTCTTGAGATAATTGAGTGATTTTCATTATCAAACTGAGAGGAATAAAACTGTCCATAAATTATGTGAAGAGTGACTTTCTAAGTTAGGCAGCTCTGTCATCTATCAGGGTCTATCTAGCCTTAGTCACAGAATGTGCTCCCCCAGAGCTTTCTAGAGAAGTCTCTAGTATACAGTCTAAGTTTCATGGTAAACAGCATGTAAATGAACACGGCTGGTCTACTATGAGAGAAAAGGTTGCTTTTTGTTTTTAGAGAATATCTCGACTTCTTTGTCCTATGAAAGCCACCTGAGTGACCTTCAGGATTAGGGAAATCCAGGGTGAATGAGCAGCCTTTGTCCTGGGATTGAGGTGAAATTAAACCTTTGTGACTCAACCAGAGTTGCCCTTACCAAAGTCCCTCCTATGCAAAGCTGAACAAAAGGGAGGAGGTAACTCAACTGGATATGTTCCTTCTTATCCCAAAGGGCGTGCTCTGGGAGAAAAGTGTGGCACTCCAGAATATGCTCCCCGATAACTGAAATCAGAACTGTTCAAAGTCTTGACCAGGACCATTGGCAAGGAAGGGCCAAGAGGCTCAGAACTCACAACAACCAGCTCAGTGACCAAGGCTCAAGGACGGGGCCTTAGGCTTCTGGAGTAGAGATTTTACTCCCTGGGTGTGGCAGTGACTGTGCTGGAAGACAGTGGGTCAGCACAGGAGAGTAAATTAGACACACAGCAAAGCACGTAGCTCTCTTGTCCAGACACAGCATTAAGTGAGGCGCACTGCTGCCTGGGTAGGCAGCCTGCCAGACAGAGCTAAAAATAATTAAGCTTTGAAAATTTGACTTCTTGTTCAGAAATTAACCAACATTTCAGCAAAATGGAGATGACCTTTGCTCTGGATGTAGGATTTTATTTTGGATGTCAAAGTTCTGTTGTCCTTGGGAAAACCCATTATCTTTATAAACATTTAGATTATGACATGTCACATTAAGAAGTTTAAGTGAACAAACAAATTCTTCATTTGAAGAGCTGGAACATTAAACTATACTTTACTATTCATGGCATCAAATTCATCTTTGACCTTGTCTCGCAATCAGCACCATCTGAGACAGGGAAGGCTGCACTTCCAAAATTCCGTGGGGCAGTGAGAAGCACTTTTGGGGTGTAGAAGTCACATGGTCTCCTCTGTGGACTGTGTAAGCCTGCCTTTGTACAACTCGGAGGTTCTGCAGGGATGAAGTGGTCTGCCTGCTAATCTAGCAAGTGAACATTCAAGTTGAGTCTCACTTTGAGGGAATTTAAAATATGTAACTATATTATTGCTCCAAGTTTGAGAAGTACATTGTAACCTATATGATAGCTTTAAACTCTCTTTAAGATAAGTGCCTTTAAACTGCTAGTGAGCAATTTCTTGATGGCCCTTCCTCCCATCCTACTTTCTTACCCTGAAGTATTGCACACACTGTCCATCAGAGCAAGGTCTAAGGCTTGGATGGCCAGTTCATCAGGTGCTACCATTCCTTTATGGAGATGCCAATTTAACATCAATCCCAGCTCTGTTTCTGCATGATTGTTCAATATAGTACGCAAAGCATCTCCTATTGACAAATGTTTTAAGCCATAATCACTTGCGAGTTTTTTGGCCACTGAAAAATATGAAATGTTAAACTTATTTCACTTCACACATTTATCAGTTAACCTTACTTTCAGACTCTGGTTAATGATATCAATACCCAACTTAAATCTTCATACTCCTCAAAGAAAATCTGAAAATTAAAATTGCCACATTTTACTGAAATAATAATTATCAGAGATAAGTTATTCAGGTTTGTGATTGATGAAGCTGATTAATGAGTTCATCTGTCTTGGAGGGTTTTCCATAACCAAACCCATCTTCTTCTAGCTGCATGAAGTAGCAAAATTTTTGAGAGCACTTCAATAATTCCTATGTATATTCTTAATATTTGGGACCATGTCCAAAATAACAATGTAACAACTCGTACAGCATGCATTAATGCCTTTCCCTATAATACCATCACTAACCCATATACATGTAGGCGTGCATAGGACATCCTATGTTTAATCAACATTAATAGAACTGTCACCATGCATATAAGCACGTCCATAATACTCACATAGTACATAATACAGTACATCATAACTTGACATAATAAGCTCGCCAACATGACAGTACTTGCCATAATATTAACTCTTTATAGTACAGAGCACATTAAGATCACTAGCGTACATACCACATTTATGTCATAAATCTCTCTCGTTCCAAATGACTATCCTGTACCAACCATGGTCCCATAATCTACCATCCTCCATGAAACCATCTACTCATCCAATTACATGTCCCTTTTCTTGCTCTGATCCCATTTTAACTTGGGGGTAGCTAATAGTGAACTTTATCTGGCATCTGGTTCCTACCTCAGGGCCATAAGTCGAATAATCGCCCACTCGTTCCTCTTAAATAAGACATCACGATGGATTAGTTCCACTCTAGCCCGTGACCCAACATAACTGCACTGTCATGCCTTTAGTGGTTTTATTTTTGGGGGGATGCAGAGACTCAATTGTAGCTGGACTTATTAATCAATACTCTGGATGGTACCATTCTCCTATCTGCCCATCACCGAATTCCATGTTACAATCAGGATAGCATACCTTATACAACTAGGTCTCAGTTAATCCTTTAGGAAATAATTTTTTAAAAATTGTAATGGTACACCTGACATTTTTATAGTGACTTATGGCTTATGAGACAGTTTTTGTTTTTTCCTTCTGTGGCCTTATTGGATATTTTCAACAATTTTATTGGGTAGATGGAATGGATATTGAAATTCTAATGTCCATTCGACTCAATCTGATGGAATAGCTGAACAAATCAACTATCAGGGCCACCCAAAAGGAAAGCCCCTGTGAGATCCATAGAGCAATCTCAGTTTCGCCACAAATGCTGCAACCAGACCTATTTTTTTAAAGTTCTAAAAATAATTAAGCTTTAAAATTTGACATCTTATTCAAAAATTAACCTCCATTTTAGCAAAATGGAGTTACCTTTGCTCTGGATGTGGGATTTTATTTTGGATGTCAAAGTTCTTCTGTCCTTGGGAAAACCCATTATCTTTATGAATTTTAAGAATATGACCCTTGTTGTATTAAGAAGTTTAAATGGGACTTTTCATTTGAAAAGCTGGAACACATAACTATCCGTTACTATTCATGGCGACAAATTAATTTTTGACCTGTTTCTCCTCTTCAGTCAGCCGCTGAGACCTTGTAACTTTTTTCTTTGAAATATGTCCTATAACCATACTTTCTATTCTATTCTCATTGTGGCTACTGTTCATATTTTTGCCATGTCATTTGGAAACAGTACAACCAATTAGTTTTTGGACTTACTGCCTTAACACAGAAACAACAAACAACAAAAGCTACAGTTCAAAATTATAAAAAATTCAAACACAATAGAAATGCATCTTTTAGCAATGATAAAGATAATGAATTTGCATTTTTTAAACTACAGATTGATATGATTTTTTCTCTAAGCCATTTGGTCCTAGCTGTTTTTAAGTCAGGTTATAGTTCTGACTGACTTCTTGCTGTAAGTTGAGTTTGTATGCCAAAAAGGCCCACATGTTAAAGGCTTGGTCCCCAGCCCATGACACTGAGGAGAGAGGTAGGGCTTTGTGGTGGTTTTAGGTGTTGGAAAGCTTATTTTCGAACAGGGTTGTGTGACCTTGGTCTCTTCCTTTCTATTTTTTTGTGATCCAGCCATCAGGTGAGCAGTATTGCTCTGCTAAACACTCCTTGTCATGCTGTGCTGCCTCAATACAGGCTCAAAAACAATGGGGGCCAGCTGGCCATGGACTGAAGCCTTCAAAAACTGTGAGCCAAAAGAAAACTTTCTTCTCTATAAATTGATTATCTCAGGTATTTTGTTACAGAAACAGAAAGCTAACATACTTTTCTGATGGTTATTGATCTATTTAGTTTTTTTTTTTTTAATCTCTGAGTCAATTTTGATGGTTTCTGAGTCAAGTGGGTTCCTGGGTTATTATCTTTTGGAGTATGCTGGCACTGTGTTTCAGGAGATTCTTTCATGCTTGAGGAAAATAAAGATATATATACAAGCTCACCTGTAGTTTTCCCAGATTTTGGAGGTCCCACAATTACAATCCTAATAGGCACAGTAAGCTTAGGTTTGGGCTGGCGTATATATTTGATTGGGTTCTTCATGAATTTATCTTTAGTTTCCTTACTAGATAAAAAGTAAATATACTGACGATGGATTACAGGATAAAGTGGATTCTCTGCATTTTCAACTGGCTTGAATATTTCTCCTTCATATAACTGCAAAACAATTGAATTTGTAAGACCTTAGCATTAATTTACACAGCATTTCTTCCAAATACGTTAAAAAATTTGTAAAATAAGATGTGAGCAATTGTGGGGGTACACATCTGTAATCCCAACAACTCTCAAGTTGGAGGCCAGCCTTGACCATTTAACAAGCCCCTACTGCATAATAAAAAATAAAAGGCTCAGGGAATGTAACTTAGTGGTAGAGCACCCCTGGGTTCACCCCCCTTGTACTACAAAAAAAAAAAGATAAAAAGAAAGAACCTTTGTTATGGACTAAGAAAACTATAATCAGATATTAATATAAAATAACTGTAAAAAGTATAAATTATTTTATACCTGTATACAATCAATGAAATATTTTCTATCAGTTAATGAAATTATAGTTCTACTTCCTTTATATTATCTTTAGTATATATTGACTGTTTCTGCCAAGGGGTGCAGATCCATTCCTAAGTGGTGCTATGGATTTAATTGTCCCCTCTCCCCTATAATTCATATGTTGAGGCAATTAAGTTTAAGTGAGGTCACAAGGATAGGGCCCTAATCCGATAAAACTAATGTCCTTTTAGAAGAGGAAGAGACACCAGGAACACAAATCAAGGAAGCTCCATGTGTGGATACTGAGAAGGCAGCCATCTGCTAGCCAAGCAGAAAGACTTCAAGGAAACCATGCCTATCAACACCTTGATGTTGAATTTTCACCCTCCAGAATTGTGAAAAAATACATTTTTGTCATTTAAGATGTCCTGTCTGTGGTGATTTGTCATGGCAGCCAGAGCAGACTAATAGAAGTGGGTTCCTGGGTTATTATCTTTTGGAGTATGCTGGCAAGGCAAATTCCATTAGGTTCTCTTCCACATATTTAGTACAGATGATGAAATCCTTCACACATAAACATTAACTTCAGTCATGAAAGGGAAAAATCTCCATGAAAGGCAGCCTAATCTGAGTATGGAATGGAGTGGGAAGAGCAGTCCTATATCTTCATATTGATGAGAATGAGGATTACGTAATTAATTCCAGTTAGGTTTAAATATCTTTTTACAGCATCAGATCAGTCATTCTTGGACTTGACAGAGTAGGTGTAAACTAGTATGGTAATATTATTTCTCCCTGAACGCTATACCAGGACAGTTGCCACAGGTCAACATTATTGTCAGCATCATCATTATTGAGCTAGGATAAGAAGAAACTCAGGGTGGGGAGGGGTGCCTGCTCTATGTTACACATTTGATAATAAAAAAGATGAAAGTTTAATAATTTCATTTGAAATTCCCAAGTATTTTTGTAATAAGTTAAGAATATTACACATTTTTTTAAAAATGAAAGAAAAAACATGGCTTTCGAATGTTTTTGCTAAAATTACCTTTACAGGGTCCCAATAACCAAATGAACTTATATACTTGTAGGTAAAGGTAAGCATTTTCTCGGCAAGCTGTGTGGATATTGGATAACATTTCTCAAAAATGCTCTCACGATTTTCCACCAATGGCTTCAGTTTTGTATGCAATATATATTGTACAATGTGGATTTTCCGAGCTCCATTAATATGAATCATTGGTATTAAAAACTTCTCAAATTCATCCTGATGAGAAAAATCATAAAATCTCATGTTTAGTGGGCAAAAGACCAGTTATCACAGGTCAATGGTAATGAGCATTGTGGTGGTATTTAGTCATAGCACATAGTCCCTGATGGTTACTCATTCTGGGAGAAAACAAGTATTTTCCAAAATTTAGCTGTGTGTTGACAGCTAAATTTAATTTGATCCTGTAAAGCTTCATGTTGCTCTTGGTTTATGGACTTGTTTTCATATTCTTAAGTGGGAATTCTTAACTGACACAAGGGAATACAGCCCTAAAATAAATACTTCTTTTGAAATGTTATAAAAAAAATAAGGCGTAAACCAAATTGATTTTGTTTCATTCTCAAATGCTACTTTTTGCATTATGAAACAATGAAGGAAAAGTCAGAACCTGTATCATTTGTAAATTACTCGTTTCTGTTTCAAATTTTTCTCCCAGTTCACTTCTCAGGCGGTCAATTGCATCAATTTCCTGTTCTTCATCTTCCTCGCTCATCTCTTCTTCATCTTTTGGAAATTCTTCTTCGAGGGTGTTTTCAATATCATCTTCATCATCGTCAGGCTCTTCCTCACTAACTTCTTCATCTTCCCTAAATCCACCCTAAGGAAGAAAATACTCTTTTACTATACATGTAAAATATGTACCAAATGACACCACTAAAGCATCTAGAATACTTTATAATAACTTGATATCAGTTGGTATTCTATGACAATATTCATCTGGCATCCAGAAATTTAATACCTTCAAGACTCTGACACCCTAGAGACCCCATAAGTAAATAAAGAGATAAAATAGTTAATATTATTTGTGTCCATGGTTGTCAGAATGTTACATGTTTTAGATGGTCTTCAGGAAGAATATTTAATGCAGTCAAAGAGTATTAAAAATGTATTAACTAGGGCTGGGGATGTGGCTCAAGCCGTAGCGCACTTGCCTGGCATGCGTGCGACCCGGGTTCGATCCTCAGCACCACATACCAACAAAGATGTTGTGTCCGCCGAGAACTAACTAACTAAATAAATATATAAAAAAAATGTATTAACTAGAATAAGATCAGTTTCCTTACATGAAAACAGAATAGTGAAAGTACCTACCTTACAGGATTTTAGGAAACATGAGTTAGTACACAGACAGTCCTTAGGAAACTCTGTGGCACAAGGTAAGTATGAAAATGATAGCCATTCTTGCGCTATTATAGTCATTCGGTATAAATTACTGTATTAATAATGTCACTATCCTTTTAGGAGACTATATTCCATTTGAGGTATGTGATTAATTCAGGAATGGTTATTGAAGACCATGGTAGGATTTTTTTTTTTTTNTTTTAATATTTATTTTTTAGTTCTCGGCGGACACAACATCTTTGTTGGTATGTGGTGCTGAGGATCGAACCCGGGCCGCACGCATGCCAGGCGAGCACGMTACCGCTGAGCCACATCTCCAGCCCCATGGTAGGATTTTGGTACTAAGTTGTGAACACAGATTTTAAGAGTTATGGTTCCCTTAGCACAAAACTGAACCTCATAATATGTATTTTCCTGTGTTGACTCCACTCCCAAGAAAACTCCCCAAGTATTCCTTGTCTCAGTTGAGGCATGGCCTTCCAGTCAGAAACTAGGAAGTTATCTTGATCTTGGGGGTTATTGTGACACCTCAGTTCCCCAAACCTCTGCCCACCCAGTTACCAAGGACTCTACTACTGAATGCAATTCCTTATTAAGAAACATATTTCAGGGACTGGGGTTGTGGCTCAGTGGTAGAGCATTTGCCTCACACGTGAAAGACCCTAGGTTTGATTCTCAGCACTACATAAAAATAGAAAAGTGAAATAAATAAGGTATTGTGTTCAATTACAACTAAAAAATAAATATAAAATTTTTTTTAAAAAAAGCAACATATTCCATTCTTGGAGCTGGGATTGTGGCTCAGCGGAAGAGCACTTGCCTAGCACATGTGAGGCCCTGGGTTCTATCCTCAGCACCACATAAAAATAAATAAATAAAGGTGTTGTGTCCATTTATAACTAAAACAACAACAACAGAAAAAAAATAATAAAAAATAAAAAAGAAACATTCTATTCTAAGGAGAATGTTTCTAGTATCAAGGTCAAACATTACTTTTATTCTTATTCAAAATTATGCCACATTTTAACTTATCCCATGTTTGGATGATGCTTTTCTTATCTCTCTCCTCTCCCCCATATTACTAGGGGGTTTATTTGTTTTGCAAGCAGACGCAGCATTATCTACCATATCAATTGGCTACTTTTTCATATAATATATGAAAAGCTAATTTTCAAAGATCTTAAATATATGAAAGTCTTTAATTTCATTCTCCCATGTTATAAATAGTGTGGCTAGGTATAAAATTCCAGGTTGTAAATCATCTCAACTTAGAATTTTAAAGTGGTCTATGTTTTCCATCATCCAATATTGTTAGTGAGAAGTCTGACTTAAAGCTTATCCACATTCCTCTGTGGACATCTTTTTTAAATTTTAGAAATAGTTAAGATCTTGTTTATATCATTGCCAATCAAAAATTTCATGAGGGTATGTGAGGGTATGTCTAATAATTTTTTCATTTATTCTGGTTGGCATTCGGTAAACCCTTTCAATTTGAAGACCCATTGCTCTCTTCAATATTGGAAATGTCACTTCTGATATTTCTTACATTATTTCCTCTTTTATTTTCTGTTTCCACTCTTTTAGAATGTGCATTGATGTTGACTCTTTTGGATTAACTCTATCGTCAGTTCTTTCTTTGATGTTTCTTATCTCCTGTGTTTTTTGTTCTATACTTGAGAAACTTCTTTGATTTTTCATTTTAAACTATCATTCATCTTTGTCTTAAATTATTTGAGTTCTCATGAATTCTTTTTTGCTTTTTGATTTTTCAGAGCATCCTATTTTTATTTTGCAAATGCAAGTTTCTTCTTGAGTTTTCTAAGGACACTGGAACTTTTTATTTATTTTTTTATTTTTGTTTGCCCAAATACCTTTAATGCAGCAAACCTTCAAACCATCTCATACATTTAGGAAATTGTTCATTTTAAAAAAAAGAAAACAAAACAAAACCTCTTTTCCATTATTTTCAGGTTCTTATAATATTAAAATTAATATTTGCCCTGGTTTCTTTGTTAATAGTAATAAATCCACCATTGGGGAGTACGAATTGTTTTATTATTATCAACATGGCACTTAAGTAAATGAAATCTTGTCAAGTACATGGTGACTTGGGTTTTGTTTCTGCATCTGTCTCTTGGCGAATGAAGATACCATCTTCAGGATGTTCCATGCCATCCATTTCATACATATATGATGATGCTATTGCAAGTGTAGTTTCATCATTGCTGAAGGCAAGTGATGCGATGCTGGTAGGGTACCAATGGAACTGGCACAGTCGTTTTTTATTAAATGGATCCCAAATATTTACAAATCCATCAGAACCACCTGTGGCAAATGCATTGTGGATATTGTGAAATGAAATGGCATTGACTGGGTAAATCTGCTCAATACTATTTTTATTTTTTTTTAGTCTGTGACATTTGAAAGTAAACTTCTTCTTCTGTACCTCGGGGCTTGGGTCCAAGTACTCAACTGCTACCAGGCCTTCAATAGAGCTTAATACATAGCCCTGCTTGTTAAGAATTGCTCTTATGCAGCGAGACTGGTATTTCAGGCTGGACTCCCTGTGCTGCTGCACATAGCCCATGTTCCGTAAATCCCACACCAACACTCTGCGGCCCACTGAWCCTACAATCAGCTGGACTCCAGACGCTGAGAGGGTATACGTCTTTTCAGGCTAAGAGAAGGTCCCAGCATTGCAAGGAGTTCTGGGATCCCACAATTTAACTGTTTGATCCCAATTTCCAATATCCATCACATTCACTTCTGGACAGTATTTAGCACATCTGATAGGGGCATCATGGGTTCCAGCAAGATTTTCTTGATCAGTGTTCAAATCAAGCATTTTCAACTGATGATCTAATCCCCCACTCCAGGCATGCRTTGGATCCTAGAAGGTGCAGTCCAGGATGGCGCCAGGGTGCTGGTACTTGAGCCAGATGGAGTTGGCAGGCACATGGTAGAGGCGCATCGTAGAAGACGAGACCAGCCCACTGGAACTCTTTAAATGGTTAATATTCCTGGGTTATCTATTAATTCTATGACCTATTGGTTTTTTGTTTTTCTTTTTGTTTTGTCCTAGTTTTCCTTCTTCTTGATAACTTCCATCAAGAATATGGTGATTGGGGCTGGGGGATGTGGCTCAAGCGGTAGCGCGCTCGCCTGGCATGCGTGCGGCCCGGGTTCAATCCTCAGCACCACATACCAACAAAGATGTTGTGTCCTTCGAAAACTAAAAAATAAATATTAAAAATTCTCTCTCTCTCTCTTTAAAAAAATATGGTGACCTTGGTTGATTATTTTTATGAAAAAAAGATTAAGTTGCCAATTAAGAGCAATTGTAGCTCTCTGTGAGCAATGTTCTGTAGCATCTAATGTCTTCTAGACATTTTATTTAATTCCTTTAGAAATTGTTTACATTTTTTTCTTTGGGGTGGCCAATGTCACTATTACATGAGGGGCTGGTAGAGGTGACCTATAGTTTACTCCCTTAGAATCAAGTTATATGCAAATAAGTTTTGGTTATGAGTCTCATGCATGCAGGGTAAGGGCTTTACCACTAAGCTACATTTCAGCCCTATATGCTATTTCTTTTATTTATCATATTGCTTTGGTTAGTACCTCTAGCATAATACACAATGCTAATTTTTTGAAAAAGCTAACATCCTAAAAATCTTCACAGCAGATCATCTGGAAGACACACAAGTTAATCCTTGCTAAAGAAAAAAGATTTCATTTTTCTAAAGGTGGCAATTTGATTTCCTGTGACATTGTCCCCTACCCTAATCCCTCCGCCTTTTTCCTAACATCTTGTATCTCTTAGTCATTATGATAGAGACGTGTATTCTAAACTTCATGGTCTCAGAGAGCTGCTTCCATTATGAAGAAATAAATTCATTTAACCTCTAACAGAAAACCATAAACTGTGGACAAAACCTACTCTCTCTCCTTCTCACTCACTCTAATTCATTCAAATGTTCTGGAGAGTAATCAAAAGCAGATTTGGGAGAGTAGTCAGAACAGGACAGAAGCACACGAACAAGGGTAACTCTTCTGATTTTGTACATTTACCAGAGGACAGTCTTAGAATTGTGGTGGTTCATATCGCTAAAATTTTGATAGAAAGTTCATTATCTGACAAAGCAACTACGGGAAGCTGTTACAACCACGCCCATTGCAGAATGAGGGTAAATCCTGGAGATGAGAGAGCCAGAGAGGGGATGCTATTTTAAATTAAATGTGTAAATATTATTTGAGCCTCAGGTTGAGCCGTGAACCACGCATATATTCGCAGCTCAGGAACTATAAAAACTGAGCTGCCACCCATCGCAGGCACAGCAGTTTACATGTTTAATCTTATCAAGTTATTTTCCTGCTAAAACAAAAGTATCCAGTTGTCTTTGGAGGCAAATAACTAAATCCAGAATCTCCACATATAATATTTACAATTGTGTTATATAATCCAAAATTTCTCAAAATAGGAAGCGTCACAAAAGTATGACACATTCTCATGAATAAAGATAATAACCAAATATCCAGTCCAGGTGTTAGAATTACCTAATAAGAACTTTAAAGCAGTTATTATCATTATAATCAATGAGTAGAAGTAAACTATTATTATAGTAATTAAAAGACTAGAAATCTCAGGAGGGAAATAGGAACTATAAAAATAAACAGGTCCTGATCCTGATCCCCAATACTGAAACCAAAAATAAACAAAGAAAACAGAGGGGATAAACTGAAAATAAGATGCACAGTCAGTGTGTGATAACTTCCTGTTAGTAGAGAAGGTAGGGGGAGGCTGATTCTGCAGGCAGTGGGACAGGAGAGTGGTGGTGACTACAGCCAGAATGCTTGTTATTAGAAAGAAGAGAGGTAGAGGGAGACATGAAGACAGAGAAATAAAACAAACAAGTTCACAGGCTTCCCTGGTACAGGAGCAAATTATTTGGATCACCACATTCTCTTATAATTCCCTTAATATTTTTTCCAATTTTTTAAAACTTGACTTGGTTTCTCCTTTGATTAGTTTTTCATCTAGTGTAATACCTCCCTTTGCTGATTTTCATTGTTGTTTTTCAATTCCTCTTCATGGAATGTTTTGCCGAGGATGTTCTGTAGTGCAGGCTTTTGAGTTGTAAATTCTTTTAACTTTTGTTTATCATGGAAGGTTTTTATTTCATCATCAAATCTACAATTAAGAAAATGAGGGTGCCTCTAATTCTGGATTTTGAGGACTATTATCAACTCTATGGTTTTCAATGTCTTGAATCACAATCTCCAACCTGTGTATCCCCCGGTAAGCCTTGTTTGTTGATTCATTCTGAAGTGTCCTCTGAACTTTAGCCTTTGGGTCTAAACATACTGCCTCCTCCCTAGGAGGTATCAGAGATGGTCTGGGCCTGCTACTTGGTCCTGGACCTTGTTTCAAGTTCTTCTGGATCCTGACTTTGGCTTTCCCTCCATGCTTAGGATATGTATCTCTTTTAACTACTCACCCAGGTGGAGTCTCACAATTGTGCTTACTTGCTCCCTGGCTCTTATTCTTCCTGGCTTTTTCCTTCTGCTGGCTACTCAACACCTGATAGAAGGGACCCAGGCATCAGAACCAGTGGACAGAAGAGAGCAGGGACTGAAGAGAGGAATAGAGAAGAAAAAGGCCAGGGCTTGGCTTATAGAACATTCTTTAGTCACATTCTGAGACTGAAGGTCCACGAGATGGCGATATTTTCCTATAAAATTAATGCCCGCAGTCACTTTGGTATGGTGATGTGGTTTCTCCCATTAAAAATGTTTTATGTGCTGCTCAAAAATCAGACACAAAGGCAAAGGTTTTAGCTTAGGGCAAGAGGACAAAACTGGGAAGGCAACTCATGGAACTGCATATTCTGCAGCTCAAATAGGAGATAGAGAGGTTAGAACCCCATCCCCCGCCCCATCTCTGCTCAGGACAGCAGAGTATATCTGGATTCAGGATGGGTTCAACTCAGGTGTCACATGAACCAATATGACAATCATACCAAGTGATCCTTCAAGTGCTGCATTTCACTCAATGTTTTGTTGTCTGAGGTAGTAGCAGGACATATCTTATGAAATTTTCATTAAAGGTATTGGAAAAAAATTGTCAGTACATAGTTTTCATCTTTAATAAAAAAAAAACCTCAAGAGTTATGTTCTAAAAGTTTGCTGTATAAATTAATAATGTGGGATACACAGCCAATTTTACAATAGAATAAGCCTTATGAGAGGTAACTTACAAAATCTTATTTAGTCTATAAAATAGAACGTTGGATCTTTAAATGAAAAATAAAAAAAACATACGATTCTAATGTTAAGTGGAAAAATCATAAATTAAGAATGTGTCAATACCAAAAAAAAAAAGAATTTTTCCTGAAAACTAATTCTTAAGAAAAAAATTTCAGGGGCTGGGGTTGTAGCTCAGTGATAGAACACTTGCTTGGCACATGTGAGGCATTGGGTTTGATACTCAGAACCACATATAAGCAATTAAATTAAATAAAGGTCTATTGACAACAACAACAACAACAAAAAGATTTAACTAGAGTAGCAAAGAAGGAAAATTAAACTATTATTAATTAGGGTGGCTGAAAATTAACTTTTCCCATTTTACAATGAAAACACTAGGCTTAAAGAGGTTAAGTAACTTGCTCAATGTTATACTGCTAGAACAAAACAACAACGGATTGAGAGCTACAGGTCMCTGTTGAAGAGCCAGCAAAGAACAGTCAGTAGGTCCAGTTTAGGTCTGCTCGGCTCCAAAATCTGGCCTCTTTCAGTAATTCATTCCTGAGACTTTTAAAGTGATTCTTCAGGGGATCACTGGGATTCCCCAGGGCCTCCTGTAGTTAACTGTTCTTGATTCCAGGTTAGGAGGTCTGTCTTCTTTACTGTAAATGTTAACATGCACCTTGGACTGAGCAGGCTTTAGGATATGTTTGATGAGGGAATGAACACTGGAACAAGGCCAGAGATTTCTGAAAATTTTGTTCATGGCTTACTTGTCATAATCTGAAGCCATATTAGGCACAGAGCTCAATTAATATTTGTTAATGGAAGGAAGGAAGGAAAGCAGTCAGTCAGTCAGTCAGGCCAAGGCAAATAATGAAGAGGAGGCTTCTTGTTCTTAGACTGTGCTTTCTCTCCCTCAGTCTAATGGTTTGGTATATATTCTCAGTTGTGAGCACTCTGTTTTGACAGAGCCCACGGTGTGGGCTTCTCTTCTGCAGTTGTGTGCCCATGGCTACCATGCATTTTATCTTCAGTCCACTGTGTAGAAATCCGGCATATCCACACCAGGCCCATGTGTGGCTGTACTTGTAGCAAGTCACACTTTCTGTTATTCCTCTTTTCTCCTTCCCCTGTTCTGCTGAACATTTTTATGTAGGTGGAAATCAGATTATAGGAAGGTCAGTCTTGAGAAGATGTTATAAGGGTGTCTCAGACCAGAAGGAAAAGAAAGGCCGGTGCTCTCCTACCATTTGCCTTGGTCAGAGGCATGACTCGAAGCTGACTGTGTAAATATGACCCTCAGTTCTTTCATAAAATAGCTTGTTTCTAATTTCAGCTTCTCTTTGACTCCTGTATCCTTGAGTTGCTTGACTGTAGCAATCAGAATACTAAGTCAACTTGGGAATATCTGCTTTCTAAATAAAACAAATCCATGACCTTTAAGCTTTATCCTTTAAAAAAAATCCAGCAGATGGACAGAAAAAGATGTGCTGAGAATCCTGCACAGGTGTCTGACTTCAAGGGTTCACAGGCTTACCCTCACTCCATTCTGAGCCTGAGATAATCAACATTTCAGTTCCAGCTCAACTCCATAGGCTCTGGGCACCCTCACTCCCAAACCCCAGCCTGTCTCTCTGTGGCATAGGTTGGAAATGTGAAATGCAAAAAGATGAAAAACCAAAAGAAGCATAGTTCAATGCTAACATTTAGAATTACATGACTGAAGCTTTGTTAGAGGTTTGCTCTTAAGAAGTAATCATTTTTTCTCTGATTACAAATATAATAAAAGGTCATTGTAAATAGTTACCAGAAGAAGAAGGAGGAGGAGAAAAAGGAGGAGGAGGAGGAGGAATAAAAATAAATAGAAACAAAGAGAACAAATGGAAAATAAAAATGATGTATAATTTTATCAATTTAATTTACTTACCTCTGCTTTTTTTCTTTTGTCTTTCTCTGCAATAAGCTCAGCCCTTCTTTTGGCAATATTGTCATCCTATTAAAGAAATATTTAAAACTTTTAATAGAAAAATGATAATATCTTTAAGTATTAATATTTTTTCTAAGATGGAGATAATATTAGGGTGGAAGGATGGGGAATTTTCCAGGAAAGCATGCAGTGCTGCTAATTGTGCTGTTTCCATGTTTTTGGGCCCCTTGACCAGCTATTTTCCTCCAGAGGGAGACAGTACTTAGGGTCGGTCACCCTGTCCTCAAATTTAAGAACTCCTTTTCAAAATTTATTATGCATTTTTTTTTTTGGTGACAGCGAATTTTGTACATGGAAAAATAGACATATTCTTGTAGGTAATTTGTTGAAAATGTTTGGTCATTATTTATCTTACTATAAAATATGATGTCCTAAAAGAAACCCTAAAAATACATTTGTACATGGGAGGAAAGCATTTGTATTCTGGAGATGGCCACAGGGGTTTTCTAGGGCCCTCTAAATCTAACGCAATGGATTCTCTCCCACATTCCCAAGGTTTACATGAAAACTAATCGGTTCCCCTCAGGTTTTGGGGCTAGTTGGCTTAGGACTCTTTAAACTGGAGTCCCTTTAAATACTTAATATTCATCTTACATGTCCTGAATCTACTTTTCCTCTGTTCCCTTCTCTCAAATAAGCAGTCAGTGAYGTTTCACTAATCATTATATGGCTGCCGTGGCCACTATAGTATACACTTTCATTTTTCTGCTCTAAATCCATCACACAGTATTATCTGACTGTAAGGTGAGTTAACAGAAATCCAGAGGGTTTAACTCATGTAACTTCAYCAAGAATGTGTTAGGATGGTTTGAGAAACTTCCAGATGAGGAATGGAGGAGCAGATGGCGGGGAAAGCTGCTGAAGAGAAGGATCTGCATTTGTTCCAGCTGAGAAAAAACAAGGACAAGGGCAAGAAGAAGAGGGGAAGTTCAGGCCCTGAGAGAATGACTTGGTCAAAATAGAGTTTTAGGAAACTTAGTCTGGAAGTTTCTGGAAGGATGGCCTCATGGGTGCAGAGATGAAGTCAGAAAGGAGCGCTGGTGTGAACCAGGAAGGATCTGAACCAGGGTAGAGTTAGGGAGAGTGAAAAGGAAAGAGCAAATGCAGGAGGTTATGAACTAGCTCCTGAAATCGGCTTTCCTGCCTGAGTCCCTAGAGTTCTCAGAGCATGTGATGTCGAGGTTGCTTCTGAATCTGGAAGAGGGAAACCAGAAGGAGAAACAATTCCATTCCTACGTGTTTTGTTATCACTTCTTTGTCAATGATTTTACCTTGTTTTGCCCTGGAGAGAGAAAAGCATTAAAGTGTTAAATATAAAAAGTGCCTTGACCTGCAGCTCAGGAGGCTGAGACAGGAGGGTCGCAAGTTCAAAACCAAACCCAGCAATGGTGAGGTGCTAAGCAACTCAGTGAGACCCTGTCTCTAAATAAAATACAAAAATGGGCTATGGATATGGCTCAGAGGTTAAGTACCTCTGAGTTCAATCCCCAGTACCTCCCCCCTCCAAAAAAAAAGCCTTGAATAATTCTTAATTCTTATTATAAGGAATCATAATATTTAATGAAAGTGTTTTCATGCTTACTATGATATTAAAATTTTAAAAAACTACATTTTTATGAAGACACTTTATTATTTACATAGGTGCTCAATAAGATATTATTCTGTTTTATAAGATTTATTCCTATGCATTTGTATTGGATACATACTCTGATTTTTGTTTTCAGGTCTTTGATGAGTTTTTTCCTTTCCAATTTCTTCTTTTGTTTCTGCTTCCACTTTTCAACTTTGGAGGGAAGGAGGCGATCAAAAATATCTTGATCATCAACTTGTATAAAAACAGCAGTATCTGGGAAAAATCCATGGTCCCCTAGAAACAAGGCCTCTTCAGGATACCGTGGGAAACCATCCAGTATAAAACCTGTGGAGCTAGGTGGAAATCTTCATACTTTACTTTATTGACTTAGAATATTACATTATAGATTTTAATACATATTATATATTGTCAATTTCTATACATTATAAACTTTAAAATATATCGATAAATCTCAACTTTATATCAGGTACAAATAAATAACAAATTTATCATACTGTCTTATTTCTTTTAATATTTCCACTTGTATTCTTCTTTAAAATATATAAAATTGTGTTAAAATAGTAATATCTTCTGCTTATATTTATGATATAAAATTATATCCAATCAGTTTGCTGATGATTACTATTAATTAGAAGTTTACTAAAAGATGTAATAAATCATAGGAAAAGATAAGTTCTCTTCCTGGGAGGAGTGCCCAGCCTGATAAATATGCCACCTTTATTATAGAAGGAGCATGCTTGGCTAGCTCACCATTGATGGAAACCCTCAACTCTGATAGTTTTTCTTCTTCTGATGAGACAATTCAGATCTTCCTTCCTGAATGTCCTTGTCACTAATGATGATTATTGCTGTATTTATCCTGGCTTTTACATGTAAGATGATTATATTCAAAAAGGGTCGTCAAATTTGCCCAAGTATAATGAAACTTTAAGGATCATGGAAATTACTGGAATGTGAACACACTTTTCCTTAGGGAGTACTTATAAAACAATCAGGCTTTGGGAAATTGGCTTTTTTTAGTTGAGAAATTCAATATTGGTCCTTTTGGAAGGGAGAATTTGCTTATCTTGTTTATCTAAAATTTGTTTTAAGTATTTAAATTTAAATACATAAAGTTCTTAATATAACAGAACTTACTATAACAGAACTTTTAGGAATGATTGACAATTTCAGCCTTCAAAGATATTAATCCTAAGGGCTGGGGTTGTAGCTCAGTGGTAGGGCACTTGCCTAGCATGTATGAGGCACTGGGTTTGATCTTCAGCACCACATAAAAATAAAAGGTATTGTGTCCATCTACAACTCAAAAAATATTTTAAAAGATGTTAATTCTAAAATGTTAATTTTCATTTTCTATTAAGTAGGCAACTTTGTACATATTGGCCATAATATGTGTGTCCTTTTCTTCAGAGATGCCTCCAGTCTAGTCTCTTGTAGGAGAAACAATTCCATTCCTGTGTGCTCTATTATCACTTCTTTGTCAATGATTTTCAAGTCTTTGCCTCTACACCCCAACTTTCTTCTGAGTTTTGATTCAGATTTTTCTTAGAACTGCCTAGTTTCTTTATCCAAATGCCCTTCAGAAATGATGTATGATTTATACATAAAAAGTTATACTCACTATTACCCTTGCAAGCTACTTCTCCTCAGACTCACCAGTCCTCATGTGCCAAATGTAAGAGACATTTAGGTCTCTACCTCCTTCCTGCTCCTTACATATAACGGTCAAGTCCTGGCTCACCTTCTCTGCATTCATATTGCCATTTCTGCTATTACTACTTAGTTAAGCCCTTAGTGTAGCTCTCCAGGACTAATGCAATAGCATTTCTACAATGTTTTATTTCCTGATTATAAGAGCAACAAATTTTACTGTAGACAAGTTGGAAAAGAAAGGAAATCATGAGAAAAGGCAAAATTATCCATAATCCTGTATCCCAGAGGTTACTGCCATTTTTTTTCTTTCCAGTTGGTTCCTCACGAGTCCATCTCTCTATCAGATTATATATAGTTTTGCTTTCTTCTCCATCCTCACTGTCTCCTCTTCCTTCTTCTTCTTCTTCCTCCTCCTCCTCCTCCTCCTTTTTTTTGGGACCAGGGATTGAACCCAGAGGTGCTTAACCACTAAGCAATATCCCCAGACTTTTTTCTATTATTTATTTTGAGACAGGGTCTTATTGAGTTGCATAGGGCCTCCCTAAGTTGCTGAGGCTGGTTTCAAACATGCCATCTTTCTGTTTCAGCCTTCTGAACCACTGGGATTATAGGTGTGAGCCACCATGCCCAGCTGCATCTTCTTTTTAAACTCAACATCACATGCTATTACAAAAATTTCATTATAATATATTTTAATGGTTGTATAATACTCAGCTTTTTATTTAGGGTTTTATGCTTTAAAAGTTTTATACTTTAAAAGTTTCAGTTTCTATCTCTATCTACATATACCCCTATATGTTGAGATAAATATTTTAATGTATTGTGTGAGATCAGGAACTAAATAATGAAGAGCAACTCATGCTTATATGCCTGCAGATAACCTACCTGTTTCCTATAACTAACTATTGATCTAATTTAAGGAACAAGAAGTTTGAAAAAAATTTGATGATTAATAATCCCACTCACTCATTTCATTCAGGGACAAGGTGAAAGAGTATTTAGAGACCTAAGAGGAACAATGGAGTTAACCAGTTATCTAATTTCTCCATGATTCAGTTTTCTTATTTCCAAAATGAGATAATAAAAGTTTCTGTGACATAGAATTATTGTAAGGATTAAGTAAATTAACTTGAATAAAATATAGTCAAACAGTCCCTGGATACACAGTAAATTGCAGATATGCGTATATTATAGTCAGTATTGTGAATGTCATTTCATTCTCTTCTGGTGGATATTAAGGCAAGAGATTCTGGTTTGGAAATTCAGATGAAGTTTTGAAGTCTGGTGACCTGGAGATCAGTCCTGTCTGGCATTTGGTAAAGGGATAATACTCTGGACAGTGGGGAAGAGGTCTTAACTGTAATTGTTAAAAGGCCACAGGGAAAGAGGCCAGCACATTGCTGGGGTACATGGGCTTAGAAGATGTGTTCACAACTACAACTGTGCACTAGAATCATGTGGGCAGCACTTAAAACAATACCAAAGCCCAGGTCCCATTTTCATTCCCTGGCATTCTAATTTGATTGTTTGAGGAGGGATCCTGGCATTATTATTTTTCAAAAATGCCACTGATGCTTTTCCCCACGTGTAGCTCAAGTAAGAATTTACACCAATATAAGAGAGAAAATTTTCAAATTTCTGTTGTGCTACAATTTACCTTTAGGAATAAAGGAAGCAAAAATCAATAAATGCATAATTCTCTATATATTAAGTTACCGGAATGGTTCTTTAAACCACCATTCAGAAAGAATGACTTCGAGAATTTCAGGCGGCAATGGCTCACTTTCCACTAGACTTGATTTGATTATTTCTTCTTCTTCCGTAAGTTGTACTTCTGGAGGCTACAGAAAAAAATCAGAAAATAAAACAAGTTTTTAAAACTCTACATTCATGAATAATATTGTATCACATAATTGATTAGGATAAGACCTACTTTTTTCTCTGAGGTCTTTTATTATTCTTTTGCTTATAAATATTTAAAATTTTGAATTCTTTTCTTTTTAAAAATTTATTTATTTATTTTTATTTGTTCTAATTAGTTACACAYGACAGTAGAATGTATTTTCACACATCATACATAAATGGAATATAACTTCTCATTCTTCTGGTTGTACATCTTGTAGAATCACACTGGTCATCTAATCATATATTAACATAGGGTAATAATGTTGGATTCATTCTACTATCCTTCCTTTCTGCATACTTCCTCCTCTCCCTTTATTCCCCTCCGTCTAATCCAAAGTACCTCTACTCTTCCCTATCCCCTCCATTGTGAATTAGCATCTGCATATCTGAGAAAACATTGGGCCTTTGGTTTCTTGAGATTGGCTTATTTTGCTTAGCTTTAGGGCTGGGACTGTAGCTCAGTGGTAGAGTGCCTGCTTAGAATGTGTGGGGCACTGAGTTTGATCCTTAGCACCACATAAAAATAAATAAATAAATAAAATAAAGTTAAAAAGAAGATATGGTCTACTTCTAAGGATCCATGTGCCTCTGAGAAGAATGTGTATTTGCTCATTGATGGATGAAATATTCTATATCTGTCTGTTAAGTTTAAGTTATTGATTGCATTATTTAGTTCTATAGTTTCTTTGTTTAGTTTTTGTTTGAAGATCTATTCAATAGTGAGAGAGGTATGTGAAAGTCACCCAATATTGTTGTGTTGGGGTGTATTTGTTTCTTAAAATTGAAAAGGATTTGTTTGATGTACATAGATGATCTATTGTTTGGGGCATAAATATTTATGAGTGTTATGTCTTGCTGATTTATAATTCCCTTAGGCAGTATGAAACGTCTTTCTTTGTCCCTTATGAATTACTTTAGCTCAAAGTCCACTTTATCTGATATGAGAATGGAAACCCCTGCTGGTTTATGTTATCCATGTGAGTGATATGTTTTTTCTGATCCTTTCACATTCAGTCTGTGGATATCTTTGCCTGTGATGTGAGTCTTTTGGAGACAGTATATTGTTGGGTCTTGTTTTTTAATCCAATCTGCCAGTCTATGTCTTTTGATTGATGAGTTTGGGCTATTAACATTCAAGGTTATTATTGTGAGATGATTTATATTCCTGGTCATTTTGGTTTATTTCTGGTTTTTAATTTGACTTTGTTTCTTATTTGATTGACTATTCCTTTAGTGTAGTTCCTCCCTTTGCTGATTTTCACTTTAAATTTTTTTTTTCATTTTCTCCTCATGGAATATTTTGTTGAAAATGTTCAGTAGTGCAGGCTAATTGTTATTTATTTCAACTTTTGTTTATCATGGAAGGTTTTTATTTCATCTTTAAATATAAAGCTTAATTTTGCTGGATATAAAGTTCTTGGTTGGCATGCATTTTCTTTCAGAGCTTGATACATGTTGTTCCAGGACCTTTGAGGGTCTGGGTGGAGAAATCAGCTGAGATCCCAAGTGGTTTCCTCTTATATGTTATTTGACATTTTTATCTTGGAGTCTTTAAAATTCTATCCTTATTCTATATGTTTCATTATAATGTGCCTTCATGTAGGTCTGTTATGATTCTGTACATTTGGGATCCTGCAAGCCTCTTGTATTTGATTTTCCATTTCATTCTTTAGGTTTGGGAAATTTTCTGATATTTCATTGAAAAGATGTGATTCCTTTGGTTTATATCTCCATGCCTTCATCTATCCTGATAAATCTTAAATTTGGTCTTTTGATATTATTTCATAATTCTTGTAAGTTCTCTTCGTGGTTTCTTATTACCTTTTCTGTGTGGTCAACTTTATTTTCAAGAGTATATATTTTGTCTTCATTGACTGAGGTTCTGTCTTCCAAGTGGTCTAGTTTGTTGTTGGTACTTTCTATTGAATTTTTAATTTAGTTTATTGATTCCTTCATTTTGAGGATTTCTGCTTGACTTTTCAGAATCTCTATTTATTGAAATGATCTTAATAAAATCTCCTTAAATTTATCTCTGATTTCACTCCTTTCATCATCCTTTATGTCACAGATCAGTTTAACTATGTACATTCTGAACTCCTTTTCTGACATTTCCTCTATTGTGTTGTCAATGGATTCTATTATTGGAGCATCTTGATATGTTTGGGGCTCTTTGTTCCCTTGTTTTTTCTTCATGTTGTTTGTATGTGTTTTCATCTAGCAGTGTGGATCTGAGGCAGTACATTTTCTACCCTGTAGACTTATGGTGTCCCTGAGGTTTCTGATTCCTTGCCTTTACGGGGAAGACCAATATTAACAGCACCCCATGCAAACAATATACAGCCCTAAATCAAATAGCTTCTATTAAAATGTCTACAGTTTTTCCACAACAAACAGAAGAGATGTGTTCAATTATTGTCTATAATATAAATAGTAAATTTGCAAAAGGGTTTAAAATTTCAAATGGTGGACAGAGAGAACAGAAATGGTATAGGATGTGCTGTTTATGAGGAAGAAGGTGAGAAAATATAAATAAAAAATTATAGGAAGAGTGAAATAGGAATTAATAAAGGTTGGATGTTAGCAGGAAAAAAGAGAGAAAGAGAATCCAGAAAAATAGATAGGTGAGAGAAAAAAAAATATATATATATAAATATATATATATATATAATATATGAAGAAAAAAGTAAAAATAAAAAGAATACACACAAAACTGTAATATACATTCAGATATCCTAGTCCTCAATAAGCTGATGCATGAAAAATACTTGGTTTCAAAAATGGTAGAGATGTAAGAGAGGAAAAAAATAAAAAAGGATGTTAATGGAAAATTAAACAATTGTTTCTGTTGGAATTCAAAAGTTTATCAGTTTCCCTTCTTAGCCAATAGGTGGGGTTGTCTGGAGGGTGGTTGTAGCTCTATCTCAGGATGGTAAGAAAAAAACAATTTTATACACACACACACACACACACACACACAATTGCAGATTTAAATTGGATGACTGCACCTCAGGAATCTCCTTTGGGTTCCACTAGTGTGGTGTAGGGGCCTATTCTTAGCCCCTTACATTGCCTGTGGACCCCACAATTCCTGGTACTTGCTTGCAATGGGCTGGGTTGGGGGCTAGGGACGGTTTAGAAGATTGGGGATCAGGGAGCTGGAGGGCCCTGTTGGATGTCAGACTGTTGTTGGACATGGTGGGAAGAGGGAATTGGTGGATGCGAACAGTGGAGGGAGTTGGGGACCAGGCTGGTGCTGGGATCTGGTGAGTGCTGGCCCGAGTGGGCCTGGGAACTTGGAGGGTGCCAGACCAGCTGGCTGTGCAGGACAAGAGCAAGTTGCCCTCATCCCCTCTTCCAACCTTCTGACCCATGGTAGCCAGCCCCATCAGTCCCTGAGCACTTCAGAAGTCTTGGAGCTGGGGAGAGCCCTGCTCTCTCCAGCCTCTCTAACCTGTGTTCTCCATGGAGAAATGTTTCCAGTTTCTGAACTTCCACAGGATTGTTGGGCTCAGACATTCCCACACAGACCTAGCTGCAAACTCATGCATCTGGGTTTCAGTTTCTGTAGGCTCTGCCATGCTGCAGCCCCAAGATGGCTCCTGGATTGCAGATAATTGATAAACTCCAAACTCCAGTGGAGAGGTGTTTTTTTTTTTTGTTTTGTTTTTTTGTTATTTATGTCTGATTAATGTCTGTGGTTTGGCTAGGGCAGACTGCCCTTCCTGTCTCAGATTTTTCACTCTAASCCTCCGAGAGATGTGGTATTCCTGCTGTTAACTTCTGGGTAGCAGAGCTAAGACAAATGCTGTCTCACACTATTCTCAAATCTTTTTTCCTCTGCTCTTGAGCTCTTTTCTTTATGCTAATATTCAATGTGATTATAAGCAGTAAATAGCATCTACTAGAGCTAAGAGGAGTGACTAGTGATAACATGATTAATTTTCACATGGCTTCATGTTATAATTCATCACTTTTTGCAAAAACCTTGTTCAGTTTTCCTCACAGGTTTATATAGCTTAACTGATTTTTCCCATTTATCCTATAATCGTACAATGTTATCTCTCAAATCAAGATCCTGATTAGGAGAAGTTCTCACCAGGCAGCCATCAGAAATATAATTTATAAAGGGGATTACAATATTATAATAACAAATAGAAAATATTGTGATAATGAACTCAAACCATCTCTTTCTGTAGTAAGATTATCATTAACTGGATAGTTCTTTCTAGAATGAAACTGCTTTTGTTATCCCAAATTCTAAAAATGAGTAAAGTATTGAGATAGGGATTTAGGATAAAAAGAAAGAAATACTGAATCATAAAGAAATATTCTCAAGCTATTGAGAGGTAGAAAGCACAGTTATAAATCTTGAGCAACTTGCCCTTGGCCCATGCCCTTGTAAAATGAGGAAAATATGCAAGTGTAGAGAAAACTAGTGTGAAATTGTGCAGCTCCACCAGGATCCACCTCCATTCCAGCCCCCGGTATAGCCCTTCTATAAATATTGGACCCCAGTCCAAGTCAAGGCTGCTTCTCACTCTTGAGACAGCCTGCATTCTTGCTTGAATGTGTATCCATCTTCCTAAATAAACTTGTGTCTATGCCTTTGTCAAGCTTGTGCTGAAATTCTTTTCTGTCACTATGCCAAGAACCCTGATGGACCTGAGTTTAGTTCCCCCTCTCCTCTGGAAACTCCTTGGACCCTTTTCCAGAGACATCTATTCTCCCATGACAGTATGAGAAACTGTTGATTACCAGGAGGTAGGATTTAATTTTATTATCTAAAAAGAATTCCTCAGTATGCCTCCTTAGAAGTCAAATGATTCAGAAACAGCAAAAGAGAACTAAATGACTATAGAGAAGCAGATAATATTTTGTTGCATTAAAAAACCTAAACTCTGGAGCTGGGATTGTGGCTCAGTGGTAGAGCGCTCGCCTAGCAGGTGGGAGGCCCTGGATTTGATCCTCAGCACCACATAAGAATAAATAAAGATATTGTGTCCAACTATAGCTAAAAAATAAATATTTAAATAAAACAAAACAAAAAAACCTAGACTCATGGGTCTGGGGTTGTGGCTCAGTGGTAGAGCGCTCAGTGGTAGAGTCTCGCATGTGCGAGACCCTGGGTTTCAAGCCTCAACACCACATAAAAAAATAAATAAACAAGTGAAATAAAGGTGTTGTGACCAAATACAACTAACAAAACATAAAAAATCCCTAGACTCATGGAATTTAAAAATCTGGATTAATGTACATTTTTAAATTAATAGAATATCAGCTTTTCTCAGATTCTCCTGAATATAGGTGGAAAACAATTAACAAGTATGTTTGAAGGTATGCCACATACCTTCACTTTTTGCTTTGAATATAGCCCTTACTGCTCTGCTACTGCAACTTCTTTTTTGGTATTGAGGAGTGAATCCAAGGGTGCTTAACCACTGAGCCACATCCCCAGCCCCTTTTTGTAAATTGCTGAGGCTGGCTTTGAACTCTTCTCAGCCTCCCCAGTTACTGGAATTACAGGCATGCACCACCACACTGGGCATTGCAATTTATTTTTAAAATGGCCATGTCTCTTTCTCTTCCTCTCTCCCTGCTCCTCCCTAATCTCCCCCTCCATAATCTCAGGGGGAAAAGGATCACCTTTCTTACCAATTTTAGGCAGATTTATCTCTCCTTGAGTAAAATACCCACCATAGGAAGGAAGTAATCCAGACTTTGTGGATAGTACCAGAGGATCTTGGAAATGACTGTCTCCCAAATTAACAAGTGAATGACAACTCCAACAGAGAACAAGTGTGATGTAGCCTTTGAATCACCTCTTTTAAAGCACCCCATTCCTGCTGATGGGCAGAATCACAACCTTTGGGACAGGAGTCCCCTGTATTTCTTCTTTGCTAGCAAAGCAATAGAACTTCTTTTTTTCCTTTTCCTCAAAACTGTGTCCCCCGTATTGGCATGGAGACAAGGACTATTAGGATACTACACATCACTATCCAATCGTGTTCCAATTTCAAGTGTTATACATAACCATACCTGGGTTCCTTAATGGGGGCTCATTTGAAAAGAAAATGGTCTAGCCATATCAGAAATAGTGAAAAAAAATAAGGTAGAAATAAGAACTTTCTTTTTATAACTTCAGACAGAAGCCATCTAAGAGATACACACAAACCTTCTTATTAGGGATCATTGAAAATTAATATTTTGAGATTTCTGTTGGCACTGGGGCAGATTTCTATGCTATGTGATAGAAAACAGAGAACACAGTAGTGGAAACCTTATACTATAAGTCAGACATATCAAAAATATAATCACAAACAAATGCTACACAATAGTCTAGTTAGAGAAAGCTTTTCTGATTTTTATGGGAGTCATGTAAATCAGTATCTTATATTCCAGATAAGTAGTAAGATTTTATTTAGCTTGCGGGGGGTGAGATGACTTTTATAGGCGAGTTCTTTTTCTTGTTTTAAGAACTGTATATATAGAGAGAGTTTTATTTATACTACTTCAGATTCTACATCCCCAAAGGGACACCAGTAATTACAGCTATGTATGAAGGAATAAATAGGGTTACCTGTGTCTTTGCATTTTCATCCTCAATCGTAACATTGGCCTGAGCTGCAAGTTCTTCAAGTTCTTGTTTTGCAACTTGTTCCTCATCAGAATCTTCCTCATATTCAGGTCCAAATTTCCTTTCAGCTTTGAGTAGTAATTTTTCTTGAAGAACTTCTTCAAACTGAATGTGAAAAATGCCAAATTTTTCTGCCACTTGTCTTCCACACACAGTTTTGCCAGAGCCACGGGGGCCCATAAGGCATATTCTTGGTGGAGGAGCCTGCAGGGGTAGGGGCGGGGGCAGGGAAGGAGAGGGCAGAGGGAGAATAAAGAAGTTCTGAGTTATTTAAAAAACATAGGCTCATTAACTGCTTTCCCTAAGCCTGATAAAAATGATTACTTTATAAGTTCAAAGATGTATAAGAATATCAATTAGACATAATTCACTGTATCTACCAGTAACTAAGGTCCTAGTTGGTGGGAGGAGTATCAACAACGACAAGATTATCTTGATATCATATGCCAAAAAGCACTTAATAAAATGAAATTCGTTTTTTTTTAAAAAAAGTCTTAATGTTAAGAAATAATGAAAACATACTTTCTTATTATGATTTAAAAAAAAATCTCTCTACCCCTCTACAAAAAAACAAAAACAAAAACAAAAACACAAAACCCTAGTTCATTAATAATGAAACATTAGAGTCCTCTCCACTATTCCTTTGATCTTCATACTGGAGATGAGGAAGGCTAAATTCAGAGAACCCATGGTTGTAGGAATTAGCCACCAGGTACATCATTTGAGAAAAATAATAAAACACAGAATGATGAATAATGAAAACAGGATGGTATGAAATAATGTAGGGATAGCCTCACACTAAACTTTTGGATTACATTTTAAATCCCCAGTGATCAAATTATTAGAGTAGTGTAATAGTGGTTCACTCTGAATATAGCCCTTGCTGCTCTACCACTGAAACTTTTTTTAAAAATGTACATGTTTCTTTCTCTTCCTCTCTCCCAGCTCCTCCCTAATTTCTCCCCCTCCCTAATCTCAGAGAAAACAGAATTACCTTTCTTCCTCATTTTAGGAAGATTTATCTGTCCTTAAATAAACATTCACAGTAGGAAGGAAGTAATCCGGATTTTGGGGACCTTAGCAGAAGATCTTGGAAAGGACTATCTCCCAAATTAACAAGTGAATGACAACTCCAACAGAGAACAGGTGGAATGTAGCCTTTGAATCACTTCTTTAAAAGCACCCTGTTCCTGCTGATGGGCAGAATCACAACGTTTGGGACAGGAGTACCCTGTGTTTCTCTTTGCTAGCAAAGCAATAAAATTTCTTTTTTCCTTTTTCTCAAAATCATGTTCTCATCATTGGATTGTCATTGGGGCCGGGGACCCAGCTTTTGGTAACAGTAACACTTCACTTAACCACAATTCAAATGCCTGGCATCTAGGGCTGTCTGGCATCCAGAGGGTGTTAAGGTAAAGCTGGGTGGTGACCTGCAAAGTTCCTGGCAAATCCAACGCATTTTATGCTTTGCAGAACTGTGTCTCCAGGTTTTCAGGGTTGTATCCACGTGAATTTGTGTAATGTGTAAAACAAGGCAAAGTTCAGCAAATCTATAAGAAGAAGTGACTGCCAAAAGCAACAAGAAAAGAAGAAAAGTAGCCACAGTGCTTAAATGACCCTTAGCACCATTGCCTGGGGATTCTTAGGCACAATCATCCACATACTACGAGAGTCCCTGTGGGCACCATGTAACTAGGCCCAAATTATCCATAAGAGTTCTGTATGTTCAGTTTAAGAAGGCAAAGGTGTTATCAAAAAGTAATAATATAATGTATTGTGATTTATACATCTCGATCCAGTTATCCCATTCCAGAGAATTATAGCAATAAAATAATTGAGAGAGAAAAGGAGAGGTATGCACCCAAATTACCTAAATACCATTTAACAGCCATAATGCCAGAGTCATTTTATGAAAAATACTGTGAAAAAATGTCTAATGATAAATTAGATGTTAAGATGTTATATCAAAATATCTAAGCATTATTAGATCTATGTAGAAACATAAATTTTCTGTCATAAGTGAAAAAACATAAAATATGATATATGCTAGAAAGAATATATATATAAACATGCATACACACACATATATCTGTGGAAGAATATGGAAAAGTAAAATATAAAAATTAAGACTGTTGTTTAAAGCTGGTGCAATTATTTGTGTGCCTTACTTTCAGAAATGAAAAAAAAAATTGTGCTAATGTGGTGGCATAAGCCTGTAATTCCAGCAACTTGGGAGGCTGAGGCAGGAAGATCTCAAGTTGGAGGCCAATATCACCAATTTAGTACATCTCTCAGCACCTTAGTGAGACCGTGTCTCAAAATAAAAAACAAAAAAGGCTAGGGATCTGGACCAAGGGTAAAGTGCCCCTGGGTTCAATCTTCAGTACCAGGAAAAAAAAAAAAGAATTGCCACATGTTCATTTTTATTCTGGTAAAATATTTATAAAATAACATTTACCATTTAAACCATTTTTAAGGGTATAATTTTATGGTATTAAATATATCCACAATGTTGTGTACCTGTCACCATTATCCATCTCCAGAACTTTTTCATGACCCATAACAGGGAGTTACCTTCTATTCATTAAATAGTTAACTCCCATGCTCCTTCTTCCTTCTCTTCTAAGAATCCGCCTATTCTAGGTACCTGATGTAAGTGGAATCATACAGTATTTGCCTTGTGTGTCTGGCTTTTGTATTGTTTTAAAGAAGATAGAAAACCGACCCAAAGGTGATAAACAACTGAGAATAAAAAGCTTCTCATAAACAAAAGGAGAAAATGGGTTATTCTATAGACACAGCAACACTAGTCATTCAACCAGTTTTAAACTGGTTAGATTGGCCAATTCACTTCAGGGAACATGTTTTGTAATCCAACAAGTATCATCCTTCACTCCTGAAAATCAACCAATCAGGGGTGGACTTACTTGGAGAACAGGTTCAGTGTGGTCCCATCAAGAACAGTGTTACTTGCGTAATCACAATTCTATAGATGCTGTCTACCCACTTATTCCTCTGAAAAGGCACCGATCCCAGAATTCCACATTTCCCCCCAACTTCTTTATAAGATCACTAGCCTGCTCTTCTTAGATTGATGTACATAGATGGGCTGTAACCTAGCAAGCGGTAATTCTGCCATATCTTTTTATTTCAGATAAAAAGACACTAAGTGCTGGTCTGACATAAGACAATTCTTTAAAAACCAAAATTGATAATCATTTTTATGTTACATTGCAAAGAAGTTGATCCTTGAACTTGGATATTTTCACTATATTGTCCTATGAGAGTGGGGACAATACCATGATGGAAGCTGATAATAAGTCCTTTAAGAAGCAATTGGAACGATAATTAGGATAGGAATATTGTTTTCACCTTTAATGGTTCGCTGTGAGCCACATAGTCTTCAGGATTCTCCTGAAACTTTTCTCTAGCCTCAGCACTCGAAAAGTAGTAGAACTTTTCACGGTATTTAGCTGCTTCTTCTGTGCTACATGGTTGTAAGATGAAGTTTTCTTTGAGAACCACTGGACAGAAGGACTTTGTGTCTCCCAAATGCCTCCTTTTCTCTTTAATTCTTTCTTCACTCTAGAAATATTATTCAATTTAAAGAGTATTATGAAAAGGCATTTGATGTAATAATAAAAAGGAATTAAAAATAATCCTCTTGAATAATTTTAATCTATAACAATCCAACTTTAAAACAATCCAAAAGTCATTCTTATACTATTTTAATTATTTAAAAAATTAGTTTCTCATATCCCTCTAAATCCATATCCTAAGTTTTTAATTTTTATAAAGAAAATAAATCAGCACTGAGAATGAAGGTGTGCCTAGACCTCTACAGACAGAAGCCAACAGAAGTGTAATGAAAACCTTCACTCAGAGTTCAGTTTCTAAAATTATTCCCAAGAAATAAAAGTTGAGTCAGGGTGACAACTTTTTGTTTGTTTCTTTGTTTTACATGACTGGATATTGGACTCAGGGGCACTCTACCACTGAGGTGCATCCCTAGACCTTTTTATTTTTTTATTTTGAGATCAAGTTGCTAAGGCTGGCCTTGAACTTGTGATCTTCCTGACTCTGTCTCTTAAATAGATGAGATTACACCCATGCACCACAGTGTCTAACTATAAATTCTTACCTATTGTAAATTAAGTTTGAGATGCCTCTGGATTTGCTTTGCTTTCTTTTAAGTGGATATAATCAGATAATAATTTCAAAATATTTTATTTAGCTAATAACTATTTAGTAACAGATTTTCATTTGTAATAAATAATTTCTATGCATGGTATGTATTATACTAAAAATGATTAGTATACTAAAATGATTATAATGCTACCAACATACATATGAAAATATACATATATGTAGGTGCAAATATAATTATCCTATAACATGCTTCTCAACAAAATAAGAAATAATAACTTTCTACAAAGCTACAAAAATAAGACTAATCAATATTTTCCTTCCATCATTCTTATTTAATTTAATTCCTATTAGGGCATTCAAACTTAAAAATGAGCTGAGAAGTATTGATTATTTCCTATGACATGGAAGAGTTTAAACAACACAGGAATTGTTTAATCAGCAAATGTATATTAGAAATGACCTATAAACTTCCTTCTATTATTTTTGTTTGGCTTTTATCTTTTAAGCAAATTTTATTAATTGATTGTTTGGGGGTAAAAGCCTTTTTGAATTTCAAATTTATTAGTATAAAGTCCTCATAATTTAAAATAATTAAATTTTCATTATTGCTTCTTCTTTTTTACCTAATTAAGCTTACAGGAAGTTTGTCTGTTTTCCTTTTGTTGATTGGTCAATTTTTCATTTTGGGACTTTTATTTTGTTTTCCTATTTTAATAGTTTTTGCCTTTAATCACTGAGCCACATCCCCAACCCTTTTTTATTTTTTATTTGAGACAAGGTCTGCTAAGTTGCTTAGGACCTTACTAAACTGCTGGGGCTGGCCTCAAATTTGTGATCTTCTTGTCTCAGCCTCACGAGTTGCAGGTTTTAGACATGCACCACCATACCTGGTGAGATCTTTTTTTTTTTTTTTTAATTCCCCTTTTCTCTCTCTAGCTTCCACATATGAGAGAAAACATCCGACCTTTGACTTTCTGAGTCTGGCTTATTCCACTTAGCATGATGTTCTCCAGTTCCCACCATTTACCAGAAAAATGCCATGATTGCATTCTTCTTTATGGCTGGGTAAAACTCCATCATGTACATATACCATATTTTCTTTATTCATTTGTCCATTGATGGGTACCTGGGTTGGTTCCATAACTTGGCTACTGAGCAGCACATGTTTTTGTGGATTCCAATTACATATATGATAGGCTCCTTGTTCCTTAGATCACTGATGATCTCACTTTTTTCACGATTTTTCCTCTTTTGTTTCATTGTAGATAGTTTCTATTGCTATTTTTTTTCCAGTTTGCTAAGTTTCTATTGCTATTTTTTCCAGTTTGCTAATCTTCTAAGTGATTGTTATTCTGTTCAATGAATGTTTCATTTAATTTTTGTACTTTTCAATCCTAACAGTGGAGATTAGGTGTTTATTATTTTTCTATATCTCTGCTTAACTTTTTGATTTATAGAGTGCATTTATGTTAACAGTTTTAATGTTTTTGTCAGGAATTCTGACATCTTTGTCAGTTTTCAATTAGTTTTAATTGATCAACTTTTCTCCTAATTACAAAGTCATATTTTCCTGCTTGTTTGCAGGTCTGGTGATCTTAGAGAGGAGGTCAGAATGTTATCTTGTATTCCCATAAATATTCTTACATGTTTATTCTTGGACACAGTGAAGTTACTTGGAAGAAATTTAGTCTTTTTGATTTTTACTTTTATATTAGGTGGGACCAGAGCAGCATTTATTTTAGGTTGAATTATTCCCCATTCCTGAGGCTACATCCTGATTAATGCCCTACCTGATACCCTGTGAATTATGGGATTTTTTAAAATGCATGGATACTGTACATAAAAATATAAGTCTTGAGTATTATAAACATCTTGATAATGGTCTGAGAACACTAACAGAAGGTGGCCAGAGAAGAGAATCAGAACATAAGCAGGACAAAACCACATCCTTTGGCAACCTTAATAGTCTCATAAGTTAATAATAAAGTACTGAGAGCTGTATCAAAATCATACTGTGTATTATTTCTTGTCCCCCCCATCCCCTGTATATTTGGGTTTAAGTTAGGCAAAAATAACTTAATTGTAAGTGTATGTTTATCTAACTTAATAAGTTATTTTTTATTTATAAAGCCCCAAATTAAAGAAACATTTTCAAGTTTTATGATTGACAGATGTCTGAGCTGGGCACTATCAAATGAAAATGTTTATCATGATTCTGGTGTCAAGGGAGTAGAATGGTGCCCCAACCTGTATTGCTGCTGTTTGAGGGTACTGCACATCATGATCATGCAAGCAGCCTTTTTAAGACTCTCTCTCTGTTTTACATACACACACTACTCTTAGATTTATAAAATATTTACATTTTTAATACCTATATACTTTTTCCATGGAAAAAATTTTAAAAGATTCCCCTTATATTTTTTTCATGGTGTCTTTTTTTTTTTTTAATACTAAGTAGCCCTGGTATTTCAGGGAATCAAGTGAGGCTGGGGTCAGGGGAGAACATGAGCAAAAATGTTTACTTATAAAGTTGAGCCTGCCTGTTTGTTCACTTGTTAACCTGTTAGTCACCACTCTGCTAAGTACAGTTTCAAGGACTTACCAAATGAGAATGAGTAGTAATAAAACAGTCATACCTCTTCCTCTTCTTCTTCCTCTTCATCCAAATCCTCATCAATGTCAGCTTCAGCCTGATAGTCTTCTGTTTCTTCATCATAATCATCTATAGTTAACTCCCATGCACTATACTGAAAAGGTTCTGTTAAAAAAATCATTGGAGAAAATATTTTTAGAATGAACAGTTATTAGCATATATAGAAGTGAAACATTAGGAAACTAATTATTATTATTCATCTCTTGGTTTTAATATGTAGGCAAATTGGCCTTTACAAATTCTTTATGTGACAACTGACCAGCATGGCCAATGCTGTGTGTGCCTCATAGCTGTTCTGATCAGGCAGAGCCTGCACTATGATACTTATTAAATATTTTATATATCACCCTTGGATACATTGAATGCTTTACTTCATGAACCATCAAGAGAGGTCTTAAAGTTCCAGCATGTTTTTAATATCTCTACTCTTGATCATAAATGTGGCAATCACAGTCCTTACTTTCCATAGTGTTGACTACTTTTTCAAATAGTTCCTTTGGTGTTTTCCCAGAAATCTCCAAGTTTAAAATTTGAACGCCAGCCTCACTAATTGCTGATTCCAGTGTTTTCCAGGTGGTATTGAAAGAATTAATCTGCTCTATAAATGGCTCCATTTCAGGAACATCAGGATAAGTGTCTTCTGGAAACTCAGGCAGTACAACTTTTGAGTAAAGGTTAAAGGAAAGGAAAAAGAGTCTTTAAATATCTTATCTCCAGCCAAATTGCCAGAATAATTTACACTGTTTATAATGTTTTTCAAACATTTGAAAGAAAAGTAAACTTAATAGTCTTAGCAATAATATATATTCATAATTTCATATTTTAATCATTCTTTGTTCTTTATATATTATACATGAATTATTACCTATTCATAAAACTCAAATAATTAGATAATTAATATGAGCTTCATATGAAAACTTTAGCTGTAAATACAATGTGTAAAATAAATTTGATGAAAGTCAGTGTTATAAGGTGAATAGATACACTYTTAATGGAATAAACTAAATAAATATAATAAATATCAGGCTGACATACAGCATAGAAAGAAATAAGTAGAAATCAGGTAATGCCCCAATTAAAGGACTAGATTCTGTTAAGAAATGTGAAAAGCACTTTTATGCACTACTTTTGTTATATAGTCTAACCTGTTTCAGATTCTTTACTCTCCATGATCTCTTTGGATTCTTTTGTAATTTCTATTCCTGTTGTAGTATCCTCACTAGGCTCAGAGGCTTAACGAAGAAATCAAATTGTTAGTGTTTGAATTTTAAAATGTTACTTCTTTATGAAAGCTATGGCACAAAGAAATTCAAAACAGTTTAAATTGTGAATAACATGACTAATAAAAAATACCATTTTTGTTAAAGAATGGCATAAAAATATATGAAAATATGAGGCAGAAAATGAAGAATATTCTTAAGTATATAAATGGACATTAGCTAGAAAAACTGACACATGGTACATACAATTCTGTTGATGACTATTGTTAAATAGTTTTCAAACTTCTGGTAATATGGCTCAGACTTGCAGTGCCTGATACTCCTTTTAATTTCTCGTTAAATACTGATGAAGCTTGTAATCCCAGTAGCTCAGGAGGTTGAGGTGGGAGGACTGCAAGTTCAAAGCCAGCCTCAGCAACTTAGTGAGGCCCTAAGCAATTTAGTGAGACCTTATCTCAAAATAAAAAAATTTAAAAATGGGCTGGGGATGTAGTTCAGGGGTAACGTGCCTCTGGATTCAATCCTTAATACCAATAAAATAAAATAAAATACCCATGAAGGGGGCTTTGGGTGTGGTTCAGTGGTAGAGAAAAATCCAAATCTACAAAAGAACCCATGAAGATACACCAAAAGACTGCAAAGTGGCAATGAGAGATGATATGGGCATAGGTATGGAAAAATTGGAGAGAATCCTATCTGTTTCACTGTTGAGGGTACAGACTATAAACTATTTTCCTGGATGACATAAGGCATTAAGACATCCTTCACACATGATCTAGCATAGATGGCTTCAGGGAAGATAGAACTAATTATCTATCTTCTCACCCTACTCACATATTTACATGTATAGAGCCATTTTATAACATGTGAAAAACCATCTTCTAAGTTCAAATAATACTTCAGTTCTCCTTTAATAAAATCTATGTTTAATACTTATTATAGCAGGAAGTAGAAAGGGACATGCCCATCCTTTCTTGGCCTTTTGGCTAAGATCTAGTGAAGGAAAGGGATAAGCCCAGGGCTGGCATGGTAGTGACATGTTTAATTGTAAACTTCTCTGTTAATATAYGCATTATAAATCATGACAAAGAGAAGAAGATAATTCCAAACTGTCTTAGCTTCTCTGGCTTCATCAGAGACTGCAATGGTTTCTAGATCATCTAGCTTCAGTCTAGAAAAGTCATTAAAGTTGAATACTTGCTAAATGCAACAACTTGAATGCCCGGGTCCAATCCCAGCAGGGATGCAGGGGTCCTGAAGGATGAGTGGCATGGATCGAAAGAGAGGAGTCGGACAGTTGCAAGGTACGAGCAGCCTTCAGAAGGATCTGCTGCCCCTAGACGGGGCGGGCTTTATTTTTATACCTTTTTTGCAGATGTTTTTTTCAGGTAGTAAATGGAAAACCCCAAGCCCTGAAACTTCTTAAGATTTACAATCTTTTTGTAACATATATTGAGTACATTGTTTAAAATATCTTCCTGTAACCTTTGCCAATCATGAATAAGCCTTTATATTTTTACCTCAATCACTAGGTGCCACACTACGCAACTAGACTATATGTCTCCTGACCTATTATTAACTTTTAAATGTAAAGCATACCTATAATTATTTCATTAACCTTTAACTTTAAAGCATACCTATGATTATTGGTAAGCTTTCTTACTTCTAATATAAAATTCCAGTAAAACACACTTAAAATACTGAAAGTCTATTACTTAAAAGCCTACTATTCTGAAGTGCCTCTAAAATATATTTATGTCAATTTTACATTATTTTATTTTTAATCTCCAAGGTAATTTCTTTTTTTTTTCATATGACCTATTTAATGGCTTTCTTAAAGAGTTTCTTTGATCCTTCATCAAAATACACCAATTCTTATACCTTTGTAATCTTTAACTAAAGGGCAGGCTTTATACCTCAACCCATTTGCCATTAATATTAACTGTGTGTTTCCCATTTTCATCATACATTCCTATGTAAGGCAAAGGAGGGTCTGTTGGTGGGGGGAATGTATGTTGCATAGGTTGTAGCTTTAGAACAGGGTGGGGGGTGGGCTTAGTGTAAATTGTTCACAGTGGGACAAACATTTCTTGTTGATAAGACTTGAGAAATAACATTACTGTTTGTATCCTGAGAGATACTGAAACACACCTCAGGGCATGAGTTAACTGTATCCTTAGTCTCATTCTGGGAATCTTCCTGCAATCTCAGGCAATATGTACTTTTATTATTGATTGACGGATGTCCTATTATCCATATCATGAGTATCATAAACAAAACACTGAACATTTCCCATGGTTTCAGTTTCCAGATGGTCCCCTACGCTGTGACCCTGTCTTCACCACTTGAACTATAAGTTATTGCACATTAACTTATATCACATATATCAGGTCTATATTGGAGAGTGTGAGGCAAGAAGTTTAAGTGAAAGGATGGGGTGAGGGTGGGGCAGGTTGTTCTTGGAAATACTCCTCTAACTGCCCTTCCTACATGGTTTCTATAAAATCTATGAAAAGATGTTATGATGAAAGCAAAGAGAATATTAATTCAAAGACTCAAGTGAAGACTTTGCTTTTTGAAAACTTTTTTTTTCTTTTGAAAACCAGGGGTGCTGTACCACTGACCTACATCCCCAGCCTTTTGAATTTTTCATTTTGAGACAGGTCTCACACTAAGTTGCTCAGAGTGGCCTCAAAGTCACCATCCTCCCCATTCAGCCTCCTGAGTCACTCAGATTACAGGCATGCACCACTGTGCCTGTAAATTTTATAAGATCTATGCTTGGAGTACTCAACAAGCAGAAGAGGACAACAGAGTCTATGAAACAGGAGCCACGAGGCATAAAGATAGACCTCTCCAAAATAAAGGCTGAAATGCAAGAAAATTAGCTCAAATAAAACCATGCAAGGAAATCTAAAATGCGACAGCAGAATTAAAATATGCCTTAGGAGAAAATAAACTATTAATATGGAGGATAACAAATCTCTGAAGAATATAGAAGGGAAATACAAAGAGATAAAAACTTCAGGGAAAAGAAGATTAATGTGGCTGAGAAACAACAGTTATTTAGCCAATAAATAATATATGATCCTGAAAAAGGAATCGAAAGCAATAATTAAAGAAAAACCACTCTGAGCTAGACAAAGACTGGAGAAAGTACAGAATTTGGGAGCAATGTCAATTAAATTATCAATAATCCTACTATCCCATAGGTGCAGAAATCCAAGGACTGTGTCCACACCTGTGGCATTCAGCTATGTGAAGATGCTGTGCCTCCTTCAAAATGATATCTGGAGGAAGTGTGTAAACAAATAATTAATTCTCATATTAACAGCTACTATGTATCAGAATAAACAGTAGTCTTGTATGAGGACTTTAAAACGTACTAGAGCAAACCTTTCCCTCAGGCTGAAGTCCAATCAGACTATAGTTGTAAAACTAAAATAAAGAACCACATGCTTAGAAATATTGAAAGAAATACATTAGAATGTTAAATATTATTGTCTTTTGCTAGTGATTTCCCACCCCACAAAAAGAAGCTTTGTATTTTAGTAATGCCATTTTTTTCTATTTGTATGAATTCTACATTTCCTGTAACTAGCATATGTTTAATCAAATTGGGCTGGATTTTTGAACAATTTAAGACAGTTCCACATCAATTATATCAGAACCATGATCATGGTCTATCAAATGTCTATCAAAGGATAGATATTTTCCAGCTTTTAAGTGGTCCATTAGTCTTTTTCATGAATCAATTCTTTATGACCTGCAAATACACTATGCAGCTGTTATCCTAAGTTTATGTTTTTAGGATCAGATATGCCTCAGGCATAAATACTGAGCTTTTTCTGTAACAGAGGGGATAATTTATAGAACTTTTTTCCCCAAGCAAAATTTTTTCCTATGGCAACAGTTTTCAGCTACTAGAATTATTTGGATTATGTCTTAACATGGAGACTCCCAAGTTCTATCCTAGATTTACGGAGCCAGAACTTGCATTGAGACAGAGCTCAATAGCCTTTAAAATAAGAATTTTAGGACACACACACACACAGAGGAATATAATATAAAGACAAAGACAGACAGGCATGGTAGCACATGACTGTAATCCCAGCAGCTCAGAAGGCTGAGGCAGGATTCATCCCCAGAGCCTTCAGAAGGAGCACAGTCCTATTTACACATTGATTTTGGACTTCAAGCGTTCTGAACTGTAAGAAAATAAATTTCTATTGTTTAAAGCCATCTTAAAATTTAAGATTAATTGTTGCAGTAGCCCTAGGAAACTAATACATTTCCCAATAGTCTGCTTGGAAATGAGCATTAGAGAGCAACGTGAAATTTAGTGAAGATTTAGCAAGGGAGAGATGGAGGAGAGAGTTTATGTCACATGCCCTACCGCAGACACTGTTGATAACTCACCAATCCTGTTTTCCTCTTTTTCTTTCCTGGCTTAGTGGGGTTTTGGTCTAGTGTTTACTCTAAACCCATATAGTTGGAGAGACTGACCTCATCCACAGCTCCAAGGAATTAATCTAAGGTCTAAGCCTCACATGTAGGTTCTTCTTCTGATTTTGAAGAAGGAACAGTAACTATTAATTATGAAAGTACTAAGATTTAAGGAGATGGGCATTACATGCCTGTAATCCCAGCAATTTGGGAGGCTATAGCAGGAAGATCTCAAGTTCCAGGTCAACCTCAGCAAGTTAGTGAGACCCCACTGTAAAATTTTTAAAAAAGGGTTGAGAATGTAGCTCAGTAAAGTGCCCCTGGGTTCAATCCTCAATACCATAAACAAAAACAAAAACAAAACAAAACAAAACAAAAAACAGATTTAACGAGGTGAAATTGCTAATTACCCTGACTTGATATGATGCACTGTACACACGTATCAAATTAACACGCTGTACCCTACAAATGTGTATATTTATTCTGAGTCAATTAAATGTTTTTTTTAAAAAGTGAAATAAAATGTTTATTCTGGAGCTGTGAGCCTAATAACACCTTGGTAAGAATGAAATGCATATACATATATGAGCTACAAAATATGAATTGTGTAAGTTTTGGTGATTTTGCATATGACTTAAATGGTCTTTTATTTGCATTTAAAATGGCACTGCACAATGCAAAAATAAGTCATTAAATTCATGCTAACAAGTTAATTTTTCTCTCTATTTAAAATGACATTAAATAGCAAATGAAAAACACCATGACAAGCTGAAAGAGAGGGGTTGGGGCACATTGGAAGAAAAAGAACTTTGTATTTTAGTAATTTAATGGCAATCTGTTCCTGCTTTTGGGAAAATGTGCGCTGCGAATTATGTCACTGACCCTGTTCCTGAATGCCAGTCATGGGGCCAAGCACATTCAACTTCCCTATCACACTGCACACCATGTGATTTGGCTTCTTTCTGAGTCTCATCTTCCTATTTTCAGCCAGCTTCCATTTTATTATCTCTCCCACCCTGACTCCTCTTTCTCTCTAAGGAACCTGAGTAGAATGAAAGATGTGGCCCTCAGTGAAGTCTAACCTAATTTATGTTCTGTTTCAGGCATTTCCAAATCTTCAGGTAGTAATGACGGTCTGTTTTCAGGCACTTCAGATTCTTCATGGACATCATAGTCCTCACCTTCGAGTTCTTCATCAGGATCGTGATAAATAGCATCAATTTCTAGAAAGAATTAAAAGGAATTAAACTATCATTCAGTTTAAATCAACAAATATTTATTGGGTGTTAATAAGTGCTGAGGCCAAAAGACTCCTGCCCTCCTGGAGTATGTGGTTTAAAGGGGGAGACAGATGCATTATCTCTATATTATACCCACTCAACATGGTGGTACAGAATTAACAGACTAAGAGTGTTATGGGAAAACCTGACTAAGGGTTCATTGAAAAGAAGAAATGTTTATAGCAGCCCCAAATAATCTAACAGTATAAGATCAGAAGCAGTCCAATTCCATTCAATAAGGGAATGACTGTCTAATATGATATCCACTAGTCATGTGCGGCTCTTGAGCCCTTGAAATGAAGTTTGTACAGATGGATATATATGTAAATATGGACACCTAGCCTCATTCCATAGTTTGGCTATTGTGAATTGTGCTGCTATAAACATGGGTATGCATGTACCACTATAGTAGGCTGATTTAAATTCTTTAAGATACTGAGGAATGGTCTTTTAAGGAATTTCCATACTGATTTCCACAGTGGATATACAAATTTACAACCTTACTAAAGAGTAAAAATGGATAGATTTTCTTATCATTAAAAATATTAAATAATATAGATTGTTGATCAATAATGTCCATTATAAATTTAGAAAGCATAATTCTAAGTTTTATGTAGTCCCTGATGACCATTAATATATATTGGAGTTTTTCAGGAAAAAAATGGCAAGTGGTATCAGAAAACTGGTCTCTCTAATTCCCTTTCATGTAATATTTTTATGAAAATGGAAAGCATCTCTTTCTATGCAGAGATGATATGAAAAAATAATTGTTTTCTGGACTCTTGTGGAAATTTTTTCCCCCAGTGAGTTTCTCCAAGAATTGCATTCTGATGGTGTGATATACTTCTGGCATCTAAATTTTATCTGAATCCAGATGATTAAGCACCCAGAGAAAAACAACCTGAAATATTCTTAAATCTAGGTCTTAACCCAAACCACAGTGCATGTGGCTTCTAAGTATGTCAATTGGAAAGTAGTGAATCTTTTTGTGTTAGATTGAGGATTTTATGGTAACACACACAAGTATGAAGCAACACTTGCTGAATCTTACAAGCTTGTTATATGATGAAGCTATGTGCTCAACATATCTCCTATAATAAAAAATTTGGGGGGCTAGGGCTGTGGTTCAGTGGTAGCACACTTGCCTGGCATGTGTGAGGCACTGGGTTCGATTTCAGCACCACATATAAATACATAAAATGAAGGTCTATCAAAACTAAAAAAATTTTTTTAAATTGTCATATACATCAAATATGTGTGTATTCATTTATAGGTTGTATTCTTATCCATATTAGATACATTATAAAATGTACATAAGAATTGATATATTTCAGAAAATTATAAAAAGTTTAAAACCTTTTTTTTCCAAAACCCTACTGAATAATCTATGTCACATATAAATTTTGGATGGTTCAAAGATGTTTTAAAGATCCTTGAACTATTTGGGATTTTGATTGTTAATTATACAGTCATCTGTTGATTCATGACAAACTACCCAGAAATGTAGTGGTTAAAAAAATCACATATTATCCTTGTAGTTTGGGAAGGCTTAAATGAAAAGTTCTGGCTCAGGTTGTCTCATGTATTGTAGTGAAGATGTCCATCAAGGTTGTAGTTTCTCAGGCCTTAACTGGGACTGGAGGATCCACTTCCAAGGTGAATTCCTCAAAGCCAGTACCAAAGTGTTCAGAGAAGAGTCAGCTACTACCACCGTGTCCTATTCAAAATCCTGGCCTACAGAATGGTTTAATGAAAATGGTGGTTGTTTTATGCCCCTAAGTTTTGGAGTGGCCTGTGGCATAGCAGAGGAAAATTGAAACAAATACTCTGCACTTCTTTTGAGCTATTATCCTCTTTGGAAATCTGGTGAAACTTATGGACCTCTACTCAGAATAATGTTTTCAAATTCATAAAATAAAATATATAAAAAACCAATAACATTGAAATCCAGCTATCAGATTTAAACTATTTTTTGTGCTATAGGAAAATTTTGCATCCTTACTAATGTATTCAAGAAAAAGAACTAGCTGCTGGTTTAATAACTGTTATGATGATGGAACAGTGATAAGCATAGATACAATATATAAAACTACAATATGAAATGAAAATATTTTAATTTCTACTGATAACAAAGTCAAGGTACTTCTAACACTGTTAAGGTTTATTGCCTGTATTAACAGTTGAAGGAAATACTAAATTGAGTTTTAAAGGTCAGCGAAACTATAGTTGGAATTAATTTTCCATTGAAGTTCACAAACTCCTGAATTTTACCTATGGATCTCAGTTTGAGAACTACAGCCTTTAAAGAAACTTAAAACTTAGAAACCAAAAAGTAACAAAGTGTAAAGGCAATAGGCAAAGCGAGAGTTTGGCTATTTTCTCAGCCCTTGCAGGATTGTTCTGGGAGAAGTAATTCTAACTGCCATGTGTTACCCATGAGAAGCAACCATTTAAAGACATTCTACACATGCTGTTCCACTGTATATACATATTCTTGAGGTGCAAGAGTATGTATCTATGTTAGGAGTCTTTTCTCTGAGTCAATGACTCCAGTAACCATATAATTTATTATCCAAATTTAAATTGATTGATAACAAAGCGAGTACTATAGACATAACCATAGACATAAACCTGGACTCATAGGCAAACTAGAAAATGTGATTGTCCTGTCTATAATTCACTTCAAATAATGTAGTTGCTTGTAGTAACAATATAAGATTAAGTGACACATTATTAGTCATATCAATCTGTGTTTGCCTTTTGCTTTCTTGTTTATGGCTTCCAATAGCATTTGCTTTTCTTCTTCTATTCTCAATTCTTCTTCTTTGGCTCTTCTGAAACGAGAAGATCCAAAATTTTATTATCCTTGGAAATTTAGACATCTTACCTTATTATAGAATTAAACGCTTATAGTGGTAAAAATAAAAAGAGTAAATTGTTTATAATATTCTTTATACTTTTTATGTTACAATGTACAATTTTAAATTACTCATGTTAATTTTCAGTTGTTGAATTGTTGTTTTGGTAGGAAAAACTGGAATGTTATATTTTAAATAACTTTGGTGAGGAGATCCAACATGGCAGCGGGCGTGAGCTGACGTGGATCTGGGGCGAATAGTCCGGGCCTCTCAGAACACACACCAAGCCGGGATCAGCTGCATTCAAGCTCTCATTCGCCTGCTTCTCGCAGCCAAACCGCTATGACTCAGCACTAACGATCCCGCTGAAACAACTGGTCAGCCCATCTGATCCTACGGAAGTAAATGCCAACCGAGCCTTCATAGGCAGTGGCCACAGGATTGAAACCGGGCTTGGGGAGAGACAGTCAGGACCCACCCATTGCATTGGTCACCCGGCAAAGGGAACGAACTGTCACCATTTGCATGGGATACCACCATGGCAGAGAACTGACATCACCAAAACGCAGCGGAGGAGATAACTTCATTGAAACCAGCGGCAACAGGTGTGTAATCCCCTAGCCTTCCCTCTCCACACAGCGGGGAAACCTTAAGGGCCCCTCCTCCCTCCCAGCTCTCCCGTGAGCACGATAGCCAGAATGAGGGAATCAGCAGTGGCGCGGGACTCGCGGCATGGAACTCCCGGCTACTGCTCCCACCAGTGCTGACAACTGAGGTCCCTTGCACCAGCTACTGGGGGTGTGGCTACCGGAGGGCAAGCAAATTCGCTGGGGGTTCTCAGCCCCAAGCTCTACAAACTTAGGGTCCGAGGGAATGGCAAACAGGGAGAGTGTGCCCAGGCGTCCGTGAAAACAGAGCTCCCAGGAGCAGCAGACCTGGCGTGTAGCCAGTATTGTGGTGAGCGCCACCGGTGAGAGAGGCCTGGCTAGAGGAAAAGTGGGGAAGTGACTAGACACAAGAGGAGGCCCTAGGCAC